TCATAATTCCAGATGTCAAGGTTTTGGGATGATGGCACTGCAATTATTACACTAGTATCTGTATAGAAAATGGACACAGTGTAGCTGAACAAGATTAATTATATTTTAGCCAATTATTTTTTAGATAAGGTTTACATAACTGTAAAAAATGCACATAACTGTTAGTCAAGGTGCTCTGTCTTCCTCATTGTCTTTCTTGGATTTGGTTCTTGACAGAAGATAGTGCTACAGGCCGCAACTTGCTCTCCCAGATCTCATGTACCAAAAAATTATGAAGGGCATTCTTTTGGCTGACCCCTGCTTTCAGACTTCGGCTGTTTTATCACTGTGAAGATTAGGCATCTAGCTAGAGCCTCCAAAATCCCATTTCTATCAACAGTCTGATGTTCTAACCTTTTGTCCATGTTTATTCAACATATTGGTATCTAGCTGACCATGTGCCTCAATTCATGCAATTGGAAATTTCAAAGTATATAGTTAGAAAGATAGATAGAAAAATAGATAGATAGATGATAGATAGATATAGATAGATAGATATTGTAATGCCCTTGTGGAAGGTGCTTGGGTCATGGGGGTTGTTTCCCGCATACTATTCTTGTGAGTGAGTGAGTGCTCATGAGATCTGATGATTTTATAAGGTCTCTTCCTCCTTTGCTCTCTCTCCTTCCTGCTGCCTTTTGAAGAGGTGCCTGCTTCCTCTTTACCTTCTGCCATGATTGTAAGTATCTTGAGGCCTCCCCAGCCATGCAGAACTATGAGTCAATTAAACCTCTTTTGTTTATTATTTGTTTATTTTAATTTTTTTTGAGATGGAGACTCACTCTGTCACCAGGCTGGAGTGCAGTGGTGCAAACTTGGCTCACTGCAACCTCTGCCTCTTGGGTTCAAGTGATTCTCCTGCCTCAGCTTCCTGAGTAGCTGCGACTATAAGTGTGTGCCACTACATCCAACTAATTTTTGTATTTTTAGTAGAGACGGGATTTCACCACATTGGCCAGGATGGTCTTGATCTCTTGTCCTTGTGATCTGCCCGCCCCAGCCTCCCAAAGTGTTGCGATTACATGTGCGAGGCACCACACTGGCCTCTTTTGTTTATTAATTATCAATTCTCAGATAGTATCTTTATAGCAGTGTGAGAATGGACTAATACAGACACACTAGCTGGCTAGATTCTTATATAGCCAGCTTCATGAGTATGTAGTCTGTGCAGTCATACAGAACTGTGCTTAGAAGGGTCCATCATATGGTAAAATGCTCTGCTATTGCCATCTTGAAGTTCTTAATTTTTAACAAAGTGACTGCTGTTTCATTCTTCTCTGGGCCCCACAAATTATATAGGTGGTCTTGACATTTGTTACAAGTTGAGTTTCCCAGGAAGGAGATTCTGAGATGGAGATTAGCAGAGAGGTTTATTGGGATTGCTCTTGATATCACCTTTTGTGAAAGTGAAAGGAAGGAAAAATATTGAGCAAACGAAGGAGCTGATATTCTGATATAAGCAAAGGGAGAAGCTGAGTTCTGATGTGGTCTTGATGGAGACCTCAACAACCCCATAAAAAACTGATGATAGGATGATGTTTCAGAGTTGTTCCAAACTGAGGCGAGGGAGCCAGGCAATTATAAAACTATGTTACCCAGTCACTGGATGTAGGACTTCCCAAGAAGGGGAATGGCGTTGGGAGAGCTGAATCTCTTTTCAGCCAAGGAAATTCCAAAGGCAGCTTACAGTTGAGGGCTGTCTCTCAGCAGCCTGGGGAATGTTGGCAGCGCACCACAGCATTCACTTAAACTATCCATTCAGCAATTTAGCCTTTACGTCTTTTTCAAATGCCATTCATCCAATAAACTCAAAACATTCCTTGGCAATTTGTCATTGCAGGGACCTGCTTTATATTAGAAATCTTCATGTCCACTTCCTCCCACAGCTGCTGTGGCTGAGTTGATGCATGTTTACCATATAACTTCCTTTTCTGGGGACAAGGCAGACTAATTTTTCCTTGTATTTAGGTTGCAACTGAGTCCTTGTCAATAGAAGTATAAGTGGCTATAATGTGCTACTTCCCATCTGAGACAGTTAAGTGTGCATATGGATGCTTCCTACTTTTTAATTTTTTCTCCATTGATTGGCTGTAAAAATCTCCAGGACTGGGCAGAGTTACAAGATAGAAGCAGCTCAGGACTGAGTCACCTTTGGAGGAAAGCTTTGAAGAAGAACTGCCTTTACCATATTGGACTGTGAAGAAAGTGACTGAAGCACTGCTCTTCTACTTTAAATCAAACCAAATCAAAACAACTCCATAATATCCTCCAGGAAATGTCAGGCTTTTAATTTCTGCTTGTATTTCCACAAAGCTGTCGGTTCCTCTTGGCCGTCTGCCTTCCCAAGCCAGTCTGCAAATAATAGTTGATGAAAAGCAGTCTTTCATCTACACCTTTATTTACTTTGCACATTTTTCTCCTGCTGTGTTCTCTTAGCAAAACCCAGCTCAAGAGCAATTCAGCAACCCATTTTTTCGACTCCAAGGCCAGAATGGCTATGGATTGCAGGAAACAATCACACAATTTATCTGACTAACATCACTAAAAAGTCATGATTTTCATTTTCAGTGGGGTCTTTAACATTGTCTGGAAGTCCTGGGTCAGAATGCTCCTCAGTTACCTCAAAAACCTTTCCCCAGTTTACCCCTTTCATATGCTCTCTACTCAGTCCCTATTCCAGTCAATCTTGGAAACCTTGCTTTCTTTTCAGAAAAAAAAAAATGCTTTATGAACAATCTTCCTCTGACTTCCTTCATCTATAAACCTTTGAGCCATACTTAAGATATACATGGAGCAGAAGGCATGATTTTGCCCCATTAAATTTTTCTCCTTTGTGTTTTTAAACTAAATTACAAAGTAAGCTTGACTTTGAGTTCCCATTCACCAGGGTTATGAAAACTTCAATTATATCTTTGTGCTGAGGTTGATTGAGGATCCTAGGAACTTGCGTAGGGCCTTGCCCCTTGGAACTTCATCTGCTATGGTTGCTGTTGACACTTCAGGGTCCAAACCTGAAGCCTGTCAGCACCATTATTTTGTTTTGACCTTCTGCTTGTACTCTGAGAGGAGGAGTACTTCTCTGCCTGATGTCCAGCATTCCTAAATGGGCCACATCTCATTCTCCTCTGAGTTTCAGCCATCTCTGGAGATGCTTTCAAAGACCGGGTAGTGGGGAGTGGGTGGCAGTGGCTGTGGGGAGTGTCATCTAGGTTTCTCTCCAGACACGCCAACGCCTTCATGCCTCCCAAGTTGAAGAAAATTCCATCACCATTCTTCTCTATTTCATTCTCATCTCTTAAAGTTACTTGGCCTGTCTCCCTACTTGCCAAAGAAATGACCTAGTATTGACTCTCAGTACATTTCAACTTTCAAACACAAAAACCTAGGGCAGTCTGTCTTCAACAGACTTCTGCTTTATGCTTCCGCTATGCAAGTGTCCCTAAGAAAGAGAACACAAATGCTTGGCCACATCGTTGGAGAGAAAATTGGAGAGGAAAATAAGATCAGATTCCAAATTCATAAATTTGTCACTTATTTTGCCATACTTAATTGCATCTGTCTCCTTCCTGTCTTTAGGCTTAAAACAATTTCTTAAACTTTAACTGTATCTCTTCCCTTTCTTCTCCTCTGAAACCTAATAGGAAATGTCTTTTCTTTTTACAGCATCTTCACTGTTTCTCTCTCATTTTCCCTCACCCTGGAAACATGCTCTAGTCTCTCCTGTCTAAAAATTGCCCTTCAATCCCATGTCCCTCTTGAGGCTTTCCACTTCTCTTTTATAACCAAACATTCTCAGAGCCAGTTTTCACTTCCTTGTCTTGCATTCACTTCTCAAACCCAGTTATCTGCCTTCTCACCATAATTCACTGAAAGCACATCTGCAAAAATGACTTGTGACTTCCAGTTGCCAATGCCAGTAAAGCAAACAAACAAACTTAATTCTTATTTTACTAGACCATCTTAATGCATTTTAAATTACTGTTTGGCTGTCTTTCTAGAGGCTGTATATACAGTTTCTGCTTAACTCCACAGTCTTTCTTTGACCCCTTGTATGGCTCCTCTTCCTTTGGGAGCCTCTTATATGTTGGTGATTCCGAGGGACTGACCAATAATCACTGCTTTCCTCACTGTGCTCACCCTTCCTGAGTTATTTCATCTACTCCTATTTGTTTTAATAGGTAAAAATGAGGTCAACAACTTATATTCAGAGGTCTACTAAATAAAAAACTCCAATCCTAAGCTCTCTACAAAGGCTCAGATGTTCTTATCCCATGGTTTACTGTGCATTTGTGCTTAGTGAAAAACAAATTTACTCTCGGTGGTCCCCAATAGACATATATGGCAAAGTCCTACCACCTTGTTATGATATCTGCATGTTGCTTTAAAATACTGTCTCATAGGTAGTACAGAAGTGTATATATGACTATTTTAGAGACATTCACCAACCTTGCATAAATAGAATATAAGCGTTTAATGAGATCTATAGGCTGTAACCTTTGGAATGGTGTTCTAAGCTGGATCCCATGGACCTGAAGTGTCCCATGGGCCTCAGGCAGTTCAGATTCTTTGATACCATATGATTAAAACAAATACTAGCTAAAGACTATCTCTGGAATGGCTTTATACTTGCCTCAGGTGAAGCTTTTCATGAAAAGTATTTTTGGAGCCAAAGGACAAAGAGCTGAGACCTCATCATTGTTAAAGAACAGGTTGCATGACGGTGCTGTGCCTGTTTGCTAATTTGTGGCAGATTGTACTTGCCACAGCCAGCCAGCACAGGCTGTATCTTCCTCAGAAAGATGTGACCTTGTCATTCTCCCATTAAGACACAGGAGCCTCTTTCTTTACCCTGTTAAATCTGGAGAAGCCCTGTTGGCGTTCTGGTGCTAGAATATGGCAGAAATGACTCTGTGCCAGTTCTGGGCATAGCCCTTAAATGGCCTGGCTATTTCTGTTTCCAGTTGCTATGCTGTGGAAGGCCCAAGCCCCATGGAGAGAATATGCATAGGTGTTCTGGCCCTAGCTGAGCTCTTGGCCAAAGTAAGCATCGAAAACCAGCCATGTGAGTAGTCATCTTGGATATTTACTTCAATCCATCCTCCAGAACCCCAACTGGAATGACCCCTGAAACTCCTCAAGAACAAACAATCCAGCTGAGATTGGTGATATCTCAGAATTATAAGAGATAATAATCAAATTGTTTTCAATCCATTAGGGCTTAGGGTGCTTTGTTATGAAAATGGATAGCCAGAACACTAATAAATGTCTGTCTGTGCTACCGAGTTTGATTTGTTTATAACCTGGCATTGAAGTTTTAGGGAGGTTTAGCCCTTATCCCCCTACCTCTAAACATTCTTGACCACTGAGATATAACAAAAAGAATCTTAGAGTTGTACGTGACCAAATTGACTTGGGTGGGTAAGGTGTTTTCCCCAGTGCTAACACAGCGAGAATTCCAAGGCCCATATCTCAAATATTAGACCTGTGTGATATGGTTTGTGGAATAGCAGAACTGTTGCTTCAGATATGACCTAAGCCACGGGTACTGGCATGACTGAGAGTACAAAAGACAACAAGCCCATAGATTCATAATTCTTTTGTCCTAGTGGGCAAAATTTCCATATACATTGCTAAGGCAGTGCTTTTTAAAATGCATTTCCTTAAGATAAAAGAGACAGGGAGTTTGTCAGCCAGTTACATCCTTATCTTTGCATTGCTCATTTGCTGCTTCAGAAGCGAGCCAAGCAGAAGCAACCTTGCATGAGTCCAAGTCATCACCCATTCTTGAATCTGGACCAGGTGGCCTAATGCAATACATCCACCTGAACACTCCACAGGCATCTCAAATGCACCGTGTTCCAAACAGGCATGTCATATTTCCTCCTCAACATACGGCTATTATTATCTTCTCTATCTCAGTAGGTGTTAATCTCCTTCCACCTGTTCACCAGATTGTTCTTTCTACATCACTCGGCACTTCAAACAGAACTTGAGACCATCTAATATGACTTCGTAAACAGTTTTAGGAATCTCTCCCAAATGCCGTGTCAAGAGTCTGTTCTTGATGGTGGTTCTCCTGGAGCTCCTGGATTCACCTGCCTGCCTCCTCTCAACTAGCGCAGTAAGTTATCCACCATGTAAATCTGACCATGCCATTTCCTAGCCTTAAATCTGTTGTCCTAAAGGCAGTGCACTGGGATCCCTGCCCATCTCCCATGCCTCATTTCTCACCACCCCTGTGGTCTGAACTTTCATGCCGTGTTTTTTTTTAACCTTTTTTTAGAATGCCTTTCCTACTCACCAAGCTCATTCTTTCCTTAGTGCCTTTGCTCACACTGTTCTTTGCTTGGCATAGCTGCTCTCTGTGCCCTTTCCCACCTTCTCTGTCTTCATCTTTAATAGATTCCACCAATTCCTTGAAATATTAGAGCTTTAAAAAGTCCTTATGCATAGGCAACACCCCAGGTCAATTACTACAGAATTTATGTGAGTGAATTAAAAAACACAGGAATCAGTTTAACAATCATTTTCCCAGGTGACTTTCATGGAAACTATGGCTGAGAACACTGCTTTAGAGTCAGTTTAATCATCTTCTGTCCAAGGATGCCTTATCTGATATGACACTCCTTTTCTCCCCAGATTGAAATGCTCTTTTATGATCCCATAATGTTCTGTAACATCTCTATTATTGCACATTCTGCAGTGCATTATAATGAGCTGTTTACAAGTTTGTCTCGCTAGAGGATATGAGCTCCTTTAGGGTAGGAGCTGTGGTTTCACTGTAGTTTGTATTTTCAGTATTTAGTGTAGTGACTGGTAGGTACTAAATGTGCAATAAGTCTTTATGAAAGAACAAATGAATGAGAGAATAACTAAGCTTAGGCTAATAAATGTTTTCAGAATATTCATATATAAGTAAGTGAATTGTCCTTCTGTGTCACTCCAGTGCTGTTCATTTTTTTGTAAGTTCCAATACACATAATAAATAAGGCTGGAATATAAATAGGGTTAGAATAAATAAAGTATGTTTTGTTAATTTTGGAATAAAGATGATAGGATTTAGATCTGTGTCCCCACAAAATCTCATGTCAAATTGTAATTCCCAATGTTGGAGGTGGGGCCTAGTGGGAGGTGATTGGATCATGGGGTGGATTTCTCATGATCCTCTCGGTGCTGTCGTCCTTGCGATGGTGAATTCTCCTGCGGTCTGGTCATTTACAAGTGTGTAGTACCTCCCCGCAGCTGTTCCTGCTTTTGCCATGTAAGACTCCTGCTTCCCCTTTGCCTTCCAACATGATTGTAAGTATCCTGAGGCCTCCCCAGAAGCTGAGTAGATGCCAATATTATGCTTCTTGTGCAACCTGTAGAACTGTGAGCCAATTAAATTTCTTTTCTTTATAAATTACCAAGTCTCAGGCATTTCTTTATTGAAATATGAGAACAGACTAATACAGAAGATTTTAACAAAGTTGTGCAAACACTGTAGGTTTTGAGGAAGGTCCCCTTGAATAGGTACTGACAGATCCAAGAATGGGACCCAAGCTAGTGAGCTGGCAATGGGAGGTAAGGTCCTGCATCACAGAAAGAAATAGAAAAAGAAAACATTTAGTATTTACTCAATATCTCTGTAGAAAAAAGTCTTTTATTTGCTGTAGGTTTACAAGAAACTTCAAAGGGATGGGCTAGATAGTATATAAATGTGTACTTTCGTATATAAATGTGTACTTTCGAGAGTTGAAATATGTATAAAAAGGACAGTACTAATCTAGAGCAGAACATTGGTAAAATGAGAATGTTTCACAAACATATAAACCTGAAAAACCATACTTGAGACCACTTCAATTCACTACCTCATTTTTCAGCACCCACATTTCAAGTTTCTTTGAACTTCAACCACAAAGTCCCTGTGCCAAGAAGCTTAGTTAATAATAATGGTAAGGGGAACCACAATAGAATGCATATTTTCTTTTCTTTTTTTTTTAATCTTCCAAGATTTTTATTGTTTTCAGTTATACATTTAAGTCTTTAATCCATCTTGGGTTTATTTTTCTATATGGTGTAAGGAAATGGTCTAGTCTCGATCTTCTGCTTATGGTTAGCTTGTTATCCTGGCACCACTCATTAAATGAGTCATTTTCCCATTGCTTTGTTTTTGTCACCTTGGCCAAAGGTCAGATGGTTAGAGGAGTGTGTGGCATTATTTCTGTGCTCTCTATTCTGTTCCATTGGTCTATGTGTCTGTTTTTGTCCCAGTACAATTTGTTTTGATTGCTGCAGCCTTGTAGTATAGGTTGAAGTTAGGTAATGTGATGGCTCCAGCATTGTTTTTTTTTGTTTTCTTTTTTTTTAATTGCATTTTAGCTTTTGGGGTACATGTGCAGAACATGTAAGATAGTTGCATAGGTACACACGTGGCAGTGTGATTTGCTATCTTCCTCCCCTTCACCCATATCTGGCATTTATCCCCATGCTATCCCTCCCCAGCTCCCCTCACCCGCTGTCCCTCCCCTATTCCCCCAATAGACCCCAGTGTGTAGTGCTCCCCTCCCTGTGTCCATGTGTTCTCATTGTTCATCACCCGCCTATAAGTGAGAACATGCGGTATTTCATTTTCTGTTCTTGTGTCAGTTTGCTGAGAATGATGTTCTCCAGATTCATCCATGTCCCTACAAAGGATAGGAACTCATCGTTTTTGATTGCTGCATAATATTCCATGGTGTATATGTGCCACATTTTCCCTGTCCAGTCTATCATTGATGGGCATTTCGGTTGGTTCCAGGTCTTTGCTATTGTAAACAGTGCTTCAGTGAACATTTGTGTACCTGTGTCCTTATGGTAGAACGATTTAGTCCTTTGGATATATACCCAGTAATGGGATTGCTGGGTCAAATGGAATTTCTATTTCTAGGTCCTTGAGGAATCGCCACACTGTCTTCCACAATGGTTGAACTAATTTACACTCCCACCAGCAGTGTAAAAGTATTCCTATTTCTCCACATCCTTTCCAGCATCTGTTGTCTCCAGATTTTTTAATGATCGCCATTTTAACTGGCGTGAGATGGTATCTCAAGGTAGTTTTGATTTGCATTTCTCAGATGACCAGTGGTGATGAGCATTTTTTCATGTTTGTTGGCCTCATGTATGTCTTCTTTTGTAAAGTGTCTGTTCATATCCTTTGCCCATTTTTGAATGGGCTTGTTTGCTTTTTTCTTGTAAATCTGTTTGAGTTCTTTGTAAATTCTGGATATCAGCCCTTTGTCAGATGGGTAAACTGCAAATTTTTTCCCATTCTGTTGGTTGCTGATTCACTCTAGTGACTGTTTCTTTTGCCGTGAAGAAGCTGTGGAGTTTCATTAGGTCCCATTTGTTTATTTTGGCTTTTGCTGCCAATGCTTTTGGTGTTTTGGTCATGAAGTCCTTGCCTACTTCTATGTCCTGAATGATTTTGCCTAGATTTTCTTCTAGGGTTTTTAATGGTGCCAGGTCTTAAGTTTAAGTCTTTAATCCATCTGGAGTTAAGTTTAGTGTAAGGTGTCAAGAAGGGGTCCAGTTTCTGCTTTCTGCACATGGCTAGCCAGTTTTCCCAACACCATTTATTAAACAGGGAATCATTTCCCCCTTGCTTGTTTTTGTCAGGTTTATCAAAGATTGTATGGTTGTAGATATGTTGCGTTGCCTCTGATGCCTCTGTTCTGTTCCATTGGTCTATATCTCTGTGTTGGTGCCAGTACCATGCTGTTTTGATTACTGTAGACTTGTAGTATAGTTTGAAGTCTGGTAGTGTGATGCCTCCCGCTGTGTTCTTTTTGCTTAGAATTGACTTGGCTATGCGGGCTCTCTTTTGGTTCCATATGAAGTTCAAGGTGGTTTTTTCCAGTACTGTGAAGAAAGTCACTGGAAGCTTGATGGGGATAGCATTCAGTCTGTAAATTACTTTGGGCAGTATGGCCATTTTCACAATATTGATTCTTCCTAACCATGAACATGGAATGTTTCTCCATCTGTTCATGTCCTCTCTTATTTTGTTGAGCAGTGGTTTGTAGTTCTCCTTGAAGAGGTCCCTTACGTTCCTTGTTAGTGGTATTCCTAGGTATTTTATTCTCTTTGTAGCAACTGTGAATGGCAGTTCGTTCTTGATTTGGCTCTCTTTGAGTCTGTTATTGGTGTATAGGAATGCTTGTGATTTTTGCACATTGATTTTATATCCTGAGACTTTGCTGAAGTTGCTTATCAGTTTCAGGAGTTTTTGGGTTGAGACGATGGTGTCTTCTAGATATACTATCATGTCGTCTGCAAATAGAGACAATTTGGCTTCCTCCTTTCCTATTTGAATACCCTTTATTTCTTTTTCTTGCCTGATTGCTCTGGCTAGAACTTCCAGTACTATATTGAATAGGAGTGGTGAGAGAGGGCATCCTTGTCTAGTGCCAGATTTCAAAGGGAATGCTTCCAGTTTTTGCCCATTCAGTATGATATTGGCTGTTGGTTTGTCGTAAATAGCTTTTATTATTTTGAGATACATTCCATTAATACCGAGTTTATTGAGGGTTTTTAGCATAAAGGGCTGTTGAATTATGTCAAAGGCCTTCTCTGCATCAATTGAGATAATCATATGCTTTCTGTTTTTGGTTCTGTTTATGTGGTGAATTACGTTTATAGACCTGCGTATGTTGAACCAACCTTGTATCCCCGGGATGAATCCGACTTGATCATAGTGGATAAGCTTTTTGATGTGCTGTTGCAATCGGCTTGCCAGTATTTTATTGAAGATTTTTGCATCTATGTTCATCATGGATATTGGCCTGAAGTTTTCTTTTCTTGTTGAGTCTCTGCCAGGTTTTGGTATCAGGATGATGTTGGTCTCATAAAATGATTTGGGAAGGATTCCCTCTTATTGGAGTATTTGGAACAGTTTCAGAAGGAATGAATGCTAAGAGTTCCTCTTTGTGTGTCTGATAGAATTCGGCTGTGAACCCATCTGGACCTGGGCTTTTTTTGGGTGGTAGGCTCTTAACTGCTGCCTCAACTTCAGACCTTGTTATTGGTGTATTCATAGTTTCTACTTCCTCCTGGTTTAGACTTGGGAGGACACAAGTGTCCAGGAATTTATCCATTTCTTCCAGGTTTACTAGTTTATGTGCATAGAGTTGTTTGTAATATTCTCTGATGATGGTTTGAATTTCTGTGGAATCTGTGGTGATTTCCCCTTTATCATTTTTTATTGCATCTATTTGGTTATTCTCTCTTTTCTTTTTTATCAATCTGGCTAGTGGTCTATTTTGTTGATCTTTTCAAAAAACCAGCTCTTGGATTTATTGATTTTTTGAAGGGTTTTTTGTGTCTCTATCTCCTTCATTTCTGCTCTGATCTTAGTTATTTCTTGTCTTCTGCTAGATTTTGAATTTTTTTTTATCTTGCTTCTCCAGCTCTTTCAATTTTGACGTTAGGGTGTCAATTTTGGGTCTCTTCACTCTTCTCATATGGGCACTTATTGCTATATATTTTCCTCTAGAGACTGCTTTAAATGTGTCCCAGAGATTCTGGTATGTTGTGTCTTCATTCTTGTTGGTTTTGAAGAACTTCTTTATTTCTGCCTTCATTTCATTGTTTATCCAGTCAACATTCAAGAGCCAGTTGTTCAGTTTCCATGAGGCTGTATGGTTCTGGGTTGGTTTCTGAATTCTGAGTTCTAACTTGATTGCACTATGGTCTGAGAGACTGTTTGTTATGATTTCTGTTGTTTTGCATTTGCTGAGGAGTGATTTACTTCCAATTATGTGGTCAATTTTAGAGTAGGTGTGATGTGGTGCTGAGAAGAATGTATATTCTGTGGATTTGGGGTGGAGAGTTCTGTAAATGTCTATCAGGTTTGCTTGTTCCAGGTCTGAGTTCAAGTCCTGGATATCCTTGTTAATTTTCTGTCTGGTTGATCTGTCTAATATTGACAGTGGAGTGTTAAAGTCTCCCAATATTACTGTGTGGGAGTCTAAGTCTCTTTGTAAGTCATTAATAATTTGCCTTATATATCTGGGTGCTCCTGTATTGGGTCCATATATATTTAGGGCCGTTAGCTCTTCTTGCTGTATCGATCCTTTTACCATTATGTAATGTCCTTCTTTGTCTGTTTTGATCTTTGTTGCTTTAAGGTCTATTTTATCAGAGATGAGAATTGCAACTCATGCTTTTTTTCTGCTCTCCATTTGCTTGGTAAATCTTCCTCCATCCCTTTATTTTGAGCCTTTGTGTATCCTTGCATGTGAGATGGGTTTCATGGATACAGCACACTGACGGGTTCTGGCTTTTTATCTAATTTGCCAGTCTGTGTCTTTTGATTGGTGCATTTAGCCCATTTACATTTAGGGTTAATATTGTTATGTGTGAATTTGATACTGCCATTTTGATGCTAGCTGGCTGTTTTGCCCGTTAGTTGATGTAGATTCTTTATTTTATTGATGCTCTTTAGCATTTGGTATGTATTTGGAATGACTGGTACTGATTGTTCCTTTCTATGTGTAGTGCCTCTTTCAGGAGCTCTTGTAAAGCAGGCCTGGTGTTGACAAAAATCTCTGAGTACTTGCTTTTTCGCAAAGGATTTTATTTTTCCTTCACTTATGAGGCTCAGTTTGGCTGGATATGAAATTCTGGGTTGAAAGTTCTTTTCTTTAAGGATGTTGAATATTTGCCCCCACTCTCTTCTGGCTTGTAGGGTTTCTGCCGAGAGATCTGCTGTGAGTCTGATGGGCTTCCCTTTGTGGGTGACCCGACCTTTCTCTCTGGCTGCCCGTAGCATTTTCTCCTTCATTTCAACCCTGGTGAATCGGATGATTATGTGCCTTGGGGTTGATCTTCTTGCAGAATATTTTTGTGGTTTTCTCTGTATTTCCTGGACTTGAATATTGGCCTGCCTTGCTAGGTTGGGGAAATTTTCCTGGATAATATCCTGAAGAGTATTTTCCAGCTTGGATTCAATTTCTTCGTCACATTCAGGTACACCTATCAAATGTAGATTAGGTCTCTTCACATAGTCCCACATTTCTTGGAGACTTTGTTCATTCCTTTTTGTGCTTTTTTCTTTAATCTTGCCTTCTCATTTTATTTCATTGAATTGTTCTTCAACTTCTGATATCCTTTTTTTTTGCTTGGTCAATTCAGCTGTTGAAGTTTGTGCATGCTTTGCGAAGTTCTCGTGTTGTGTTTTTCAGCTCCTTCAATTCACTCATATTTCTCTCTAAGCTGTCCATTCTTGTTATCATTTCCTCAAATCTTTTTTCAATGTTCTTAGTTTCTTTGCATTGAGTTAGAACATGTTCTTTTAGCTCATGGAAGTTTCTCATTACCCACCTTCTGAAGTCTGATTCTGTCATTTCATCACACTCATTCTTCATCCATCTTTGTTCCCTTGCTGGTGAGGAGTTGTGGTTTCTTGTAGGAGGCAAGGTGTTCTGGTTTCAGGTGTTTTCCTTCTTTTTACACTGGTTTCTTTCCATCTTTGTGGATTTATCCACCTTTCGTCTGAGTAGTTGCTGATTTTCCGATTGGGTCTCTGAGTGGACGTCCAGATTGTTGATGATGAAGTATTTCTGTTTCTTAGTTTTCCTTCTAACAGTCTGGCCCCTCTGCTGTAGGACTGCTGAGGTCCACTCTAGGCCTTGCTTGCCTGGGGTACACCTGTAGCAGCTGTGGAACAGTGAGGGTTGCTACCAGTTTCTTCTTCTGCTATCTTTGTCCCAGAATGTTGCCCACCAAATGTCAGTCTGATCAGTCCTTTGTGAGGTGACTGTTTGGATATATGGGGTCAGGGAGCTGCTTGAAGAGACTCTGTACTTCATACTTGAGGAGATAGTCTGTACTTTATAGTAGCTCAAGTGCTGAGCTGTGAGCTCCGTTGTTCATTCAGGGCTGCTGGGCAGGTACATTTATGTCTGCTGCAGCAGAACTCATAAAGCCCCTTTTTTCCCTGAGGTGCTCTGTCCCGGGGGATTAGGGTTTTATTTATGAGTATCCGTTGCACTGTCCTGCCCAGAAAGGAGGCAGTCTAATTGCTGCCTGCCTGTAGTGGCTATGCTGAGCTGCCATGGGCTCCACCCTGTTGCCGTGGGCTCCACCCTGCTGTCTTGGGCTCTGCCCTGCTGTTGTGGGCTCTGCCCTGCTGCCCTGTGTAATTCCCTGTAGTCCTGTTTATATGGGTATGGTTAGAGCTGCCGTGGTGATGGTGGCCTGCCTCTGTAGTGGCAGACTCTCTCTGTTATGGCAGGTTGCCTCGGCAATGGCAGGCTGCGTAGGGGTCGAGTGCCTTGGTAATGGCGGACGTCCCTCCCCCTCCAAGCTGCACCATCCTGGGTTCAGCTGTGCATGCCGTGAAACTCTCAAGCCCTAGCATTTCCAATTGCTGTTTTGTTTGTTTTTGTGGGGGTGTGACCCGCTGAGCCTGATCACCTGGCTCCCTGCCTCAGAGCCCTTTTTTTTTTGTTTAAGTTGAATGGTTGACTCTCTCCCAGGTGTTCTAGTTATGCTGAAAGGGTGCCGGGATCTGTATGATTTCCCATGCAGCGACCCACTGTGCCGGCTGGAACAATGTTGCTGCCCAGGAATCTCCTAGCCTGGCTTTCTGTTTAAGTCCTGTTTAATCAGATGAATGTGCTAATCTGCCAAAATCTCCAATTGCCAATTTAACAGAGCAACCAAACCAGTGTATCTTGTATGGAGTGCCGCTGCACTGCGGCCCTGGCCCAAACAACTGCGCCAGCCCAAACAGCCGCGCTGGCGGCCTGTGGGGTTCCTGCACCTGGGAATCTCCTGGTCTGTGGGCAATAAAAATCTGTCTGGGAATGCAGCGTCCTCTCACCCTCTGTGCTTTCACTGGGAGCTGCAATCCTGAGTTGGTCCTACAGCGCCATCTTCTCAGAATACATATTTTCAGCATCAGTTTTGTGCCAGATATTGTCCAAAAATCTTTATGTGCGTATGTCATCTAATCTTCCCAAGGATAATGGTTAACTCCTTATCCTCACTTTTTTAAGATGAAGTGCCCAAGGCTTAGGGAAAGTAAGTTGTTTGGCCAAGGTTGGTAGAACTAGGATTTAAATGAATATTTTTCTGGTTTTAACACATTCTGCCTTCCTAATAGGTAAGATTAAACATATATATCAGTGATAAGGTTTAGATTGTGATATATAGTATAAGAAATTTAAAAAGTCCATGAGAGATTATACTATAAAATTTTACTTCTAACCAAGGTTGCAGAAGCAGACATCATGGGGAAGATAATATTTGTTGATAAGTCTAACATGAGGAGTAGAATTTTTGCTATTGTTCTGAGTTTATTAACGTCCCTGAAATTTTTTCTTTAGAAAGTACTTATTATAGTCACATTCTGCATAAAGACATTTTGGTCAATGATGGACCACGTAAATAATACACCCATAAGATTATAATACCATATTTTTGCTGTACTTTTTCTATGTTTAAATGCACAAATACTTACCATTGTGTTTCAGTGGCCTACAGTATCCAGTATAGTAACATGCCATGTGGGTTTGTAGCCTAGGAGCAATAGGCTATACCAGGGGTCCCGAACTCCTGGGCCATGGACCAGTACCAGTCTGTGGCCTGTTAGGAACTGGGCCACACAACAGGAGGTGAGCAGTGGGCAAGTGGCATTACCGCCTGAGCTCTACTTCCTGTTTTAGATTAACAGCAGCATTAAATTCTTATAGGAATCCTAACCCTACTGTGAATTGTGCATTCAAGGGATCTAGGTTGTGCACTCCTTATGAGAATCTAACTAATGCCTGATGATCTGAGGTCAAAGAGTTTCATCCCAAGACCATTCCCACTCCCCACTACCATCAGTGAAAAAATTGTCTTCCATGAAACTGGTCCCTGGTGTCAAAAATTTGGGGACTGCTGGGCTATACCATATAACCTAGGTGTGCAGGAGGCAATACCGTCTGGATTTGTGTGAGTTTCATGTTTGCACAATGATAAAATTGCCTAATGATGCATTTCTCAGAATGTATCCCAGTCATTAAATGACATATTGCTGTATATTTGGATTTACAGAAGACCTGTGTGGGAGACCAGAATATGCCTTACCATAGCATGAAGGACTGTTGAGTTGAAGGCGTTAAAGAAGAAATGATATAGCAGAACTTTCTGCCCTCCCTCTATTTGCCTAAAAGCTGGACATAGATTTATAAACACAAAAGGTATTCTGGCCCTACCCTTTGTTCTTCTCCCCAGCAAGAACCAAGGTTAACCACTGAAGACAACTTTAGATCCTCATCTGCCTGGAGATGATACCAGAGGAATTTATATTAACAATCTTTACTCACTAGCCTTTATCTGCCATATATTTACCTTATCCCACATTGCAGTCATAGAAACTCAAAGTTATTTTCGTTTGTGTTGTTACTTCTCTTAGAATTTACTATTCTTTGTTAAAAATGCTATCTATAAAAGCCAGAATTCAAAGCCACCTCTTGGAACATTACTCATTCTCTGGGTGTCTTCCATATGTATGTGAAATATACATGTTAACAAACTTCTGTTTGTTTTTCTCTTGTTAATCTGTATTTTGTAACAAGTCTGTGTTCTAATCACAAATCTATGAATGTTATTATTTTCCCCGTAAACTTGCAAACAATACACATAGAATTTGTGTATATCCTTCACCCAATTTTCCTTCACATTAACAATTTCCCTCTCATCTTACATATCCTTGGCACAACTAGAAAACTAATATTGGTACAACACTATCACTAAACAATAAGTTTTATTCAAAATTCTCCCTTTTCCCTCTAATGTTCTTTTTCTGTTCCAGGCTCCAAGGAATAGAAGTTTATCAAAAGATAGAAGAGGAGGATATTTGAGAGGAGGGGAAGTACCTAATACTGAAAACTAATACAGTCCGGGATACATGGAAGATGCTCAGTAACACTTATTCAATCTAAATTACCCTATTAGATAGTGCAGAATTCTCTCTGCATTGCTGTTTTCTTTCCTGCAGTCAGCTCTGTCAGGTTGAACAGAAAGTGATAAATAATGAGGAAAATAATTCATGTTGTTCCCTTGCTGCATTGTTGTATTGCCTACTGCACCACCAGTAATAGAAAACTAGGCCATGAGCATTTCATTGCTAATACACTCCAGTGGCTTTTCTGCCTTGGTCTTCTAGCTTTGGCCTCATTGCATCACACTAGTGATTAGAACAAATATGCCAGACTGTGCTGTGTTTTCCCAAATAATTTTTTTATTTTGCAGGGTAGAAGGAACTGATGATAACCTGCTCTATAAAAAGAGATAAGCAAAGGCATTTTCATCATGGCCTTCTTTCTAAAAGGCTTTCCCAATAGCCTGTTTTTAAAAATAAACAAATATGCATAAACCCATAGAACAATATTACACCAGACATACATTTAAGGAGTATGTCTCCATTAAAAACAACTGTCTAAGAAACATGCACCTGAGTTTCTGGGGAAGTATACATAATAGAAAATCTTAAACCTGGCCAAGTTCTCCAAGTTAATCTTATTTGTTCTTATAGGATTTGATGCCATTTAACCATGTTCATCTACTTTTCCATCTTGTCCTATAGGTGGACTATCTATCTATATATTTTTAAAAAGAGATTCAGGAAAAACTGATAGATTAGAAAATTTGTTCTAAGAACATTTAAGATCTCTCTTAAAAAATTTCAAATAAAAACACAGTATTGTTAACTCCAGTCACCATGCTGTATATTAGATTTAGATCCCCAGAACTTACCCATCTTATTACTGAAAGTTTGTACACTTTGACCAACATTGCCCTATTTTCCCCATTCCCTTACCTCCTGGCAAACACCATGCTGTGTTCTATTTCTATTAGTTTACTGTTTTTTAGGTTCCCTATATAAGTGAGACCATACAGCATTTGTTTTTATGATTTTTTTTTTAAATAAAAGAGCTGGTGTCAACTTCCATTCTTTGACTTTAAGATTAAAAAGTGTGGAAATACTGTGGTATGACCTAAGGCAGAGGCAGGGCTGCAAGCTACAGATGCCCATGTGATCATGGACAACGGTGCACAGGTCACTAGTCATCACTATTTCTTGTTATTGGTGGGACTGCAAACTGGCACATTTTTAGTGATATTACTCATAAGCACACTGTGGTTGTTTAAATTGGTAGGGATGATAATGAGAGTAATTTGTGGGTAATTAAGTCTCTCCTTTCCACCTGACAATTATGCAAACTAGAAGGAGATGAACAGCATAGTTACGTGTTGCTTCAACTAAGAAACATTTCATAAGAATTTTGAGTAATGTGGGTAGGTGATTAAAATGTTAAAGGGGAAAAAGTTAAAAACTGGTACGTTTTCTAAGAAGTTTTATTGAGGTATAATTTACATATCATAAAGTTCACTCATGCTAAGCATACAACTCATTGAATTTTAGTATATTTATGGAGTTGTACAATCATCACAATCTAGTTTTAGAACATTTCCGTTATTCAAAAAAATCCTTTGTGTCCATTTATAGTTACTCCCTATTTCCACCTCCTGTCCTAGGCAGCCACTAATCTACTTTCTGTCTCTATAGACATACTTGTCTTTCCAGGACATTTCATTTAAATAAAATCACACAGTGGGTGTTCTCTTGTGTCTGGCTTCTTTCACAAAGAATAATGTTTTTGAGGTCCATCCATGGTGTATATCAACACTTCATTCCTTTTCATTGCTGAATAGTTCTCCATTCTGTGGCTAGACCACATTTTATCTGTTCATTCATTAATGGATATTGGATTTATTTCCAGGTTTTGATCAATGTGAATAATACTACCATGCATATTAGTGTACAAGTTTTTGTGACATTTAAGAGTGAAATTGCTTGCCTGGCATGGTGGCTCACGCCTGTAATTCTAGCACTTTGGGAAGCCAAGGCAGATGGATCACCTGAAGTTAGGAGTTCAAGACCAGCCTGGCCAACATGGTGAAACCCCATCTCTACTAAAAATACAAAAATTAGGCATGGTGGCTCACACCTACCAGCTACTTGGGAGGCTGAGACAGGAGAACCACTTGAACTCAGGAGGAGGAGATTGCAGTGAGCTGAGATCATGCCACTGTACTCTAGCCTGGGCAACAGAGTGAGACTCAGTCTCAAAAAAACAAAATGAAACAAAAAAGAGTGAAATTGCTAGATCATATGGTAAGTCAATGTTTAACTTTTTAAAGAAAATTGATAAGCTGTTTTCTGAAATGGCTGTGCTATTTTATATTCTCACCAGTAATGTATAAGATTCCAGTTTCTCCTCATCTACAGCAAGACTTATTATTGCATAGCTTTTTATTATGCTTATCTTAGTGGGTTAAAAAAAAGGTGTCTCATTGTGGTTTTGATTTTGTACTTCTCTAATGAATAATGATGTGGAGTATATTTTTATGTCACAATTGCTTATTGGCATAATTTATTGGTATAGGGTATTTGGTTAAATGTCTGTTCAACTCCTTTACCCATTTTTAAATAGGGTTATTTGCTTATTCCATCTCCGTTTTACCTCCAGGATGGAAGCACTATCTCAAATTTTAAGGTCATTATTCCTTTGCATTAAAAAAATTTCTGCCATGTATTTCTAGATAACACATTGTTTTGCTTCTTTTTGAACTGTATAAAAAATGGATTTATACTGAATGGAGTCTTGAGCATAAAATCCTGAGTGTCTTCCTATATTAAGTTTTCATGTTGGGCAAAAACAATTATCTTCCAACAATGGTACTATGATAGTTAAAGCAGAAAGTTATCTTTGAGAAAAAAAAAGGATTACAAATGGGAACACAGAGCTGTCGATTCTTGCCTTTTGGAATATTTTAATGGAGTTATTGTAAGTGGGGTATAAGAACAATAAAATGGTGTTCTTAGAATGTATGAACATCAACTATTGCACTTGTTTGATATTAGAGCGTAGAGGTATTTGCCTCTAGGTAGTTTTAACCTACAGATTTTTATTTTTCAGTTTGTGAGACTAATTTTTCTAGCTTTCATGTCTCTTCCTTACCTGGAATCTGTTAATTACAGCTCTTAATCATTTCACTGCTTTCAGCATGCTGTTTCTTATATGATATTGTGATAAGGATTACACTGAGTAGGCTCTGATTAGGAGTCTAGGGATTCCCTCTGGGATAAGTTAATGAGCTCTAGCACATGGACTTTGTAACATTTATTTTGGTTGCAGAGGCCCCTTTTTGTTTCCTTCCTTGTTCTCAACTTTTACTGAGCAGAATTGTAGGAGTATGGACTTGAAAACAAACAGATTTGGTTTTGAGTCCTTGTTCTGTCATTTTCTGTTTTTTAAAGAACAAATCACTCCATTAAAAACATTTTCTAAATGAGGATAGGAATGTATTGATCACAGTATGACATAAAATAAGATGATATATTTAAAGCACTCAATAAATTATAAATATTATATTTTTAATATATAAAAAGCCTTATCAACATCAAACTCCTAAATTGCTCTTTGGTGACATCTGAGAATAGGCAAAATAAAAAAAGTTTAGACAATAAAATACAAAAATTAGTCTCATGAGCTGAAAAAAAAATCCCTGCATTATAGAACTACCTAGAGACAAACTGTACTTCACAGATCTGTAATGCTTATTAGACAGGACAAGGGAGGCAAAACTGAGAATAAATATTGGATTGGTTGGAAGTGGTGGTGATAGGAGCAGTGATAGGAAGAAAGTACTCCAGCAAAGTTAGATGAGGAAAAACTTCCACATTCCTGGTGAGCAACTTAATGTCAGAAATTATACCATCAAAAAAAGTCCTGTAGGGGGGCTTAAATATAACATAGCTCAGAGTTCTCAAATTGATCACCACCAAGACTTTGTTTTATTACTTTTCCCTCCATCAACTCCATTGAATAAATCGGTTTACCAAGAGAGCTGATCTATCAGTGAATTAATAAATAATGTGCCTGGGAGAACAGAATCTGGAGAGGGGAAAGATTTTTTCTCCTTTTCCTCTCCAGGTAATAAAGAGGGGCTGCGTTTGGGACAGCAGAGGCCATGAGATACAGAGTTAAGAGGAGGTGGACTCTTAGCTTTCAGTTTGGCCAAGGTTTATGGGCTTTCTCTGAGCCTTATGTAGAGACACCAGTGTTTTTCCTTCTGTGCTGGATTGAGTTCAACCTAAGTGCAGTAAAACTATAGGGTTCTTTACCACAAGGGTCTTGCAGCATTGGAAAGTAGGAAGACAACTTCATGGGCTTGGCAGCCAATCCCCAGAAGGTACCTAGAGCTGTGGTAATATATTTATGATGGATTTGCAAACAGCAGACACCATCTAAAAGATAGGAGGGGAAGAATACAATTTTACTGTTTTGTGGGCATTTGTGTAACTTCCCAGGGATTCTCAGAAGTGGCTATGGGAAATATGATTAAGGAGGTAGCTGATAATTGTGCAGATGAGGGTGATAAATCAGATACATTTTGGTGTAAATCATGATATATGGTCATTCAAATCCATAGAGATGTAAGAGCTAAAGGTTTTTTAATTATGTAATTTAATTTTTATAATGTATTAATCTAGGACAAAAGTAATTATTATGCAAATATAATTAAATTCTTTAGAAATATGTTATTTTAGTTAGCATACATGTTGTCATTCATGCATGAGTCTCTAGTAAGGCATAGATCCTTTCTATTTCATTCTAGAATAGCTGTGTGTTAAAGAAGATAACTCAGAGCCATAAGTGGATTGTACAGCAGCCAGCTATGCTTGTAGCAATTTTGCCCATCTCATCTCTAAAGATAAAATACTTTAGTATTGGGTGGAATTGGTGAAGAGACAGATGTCTCAGGTTTGTGGCAGAATGTCATTTTGGTAATTAATGGGGAAAGCAAAGACCCATGGCTTCCTTACCACTAATTAAGAAGCCACAGTACAGACATAAGGAGAAGAAAGATCTAGCATGGTGGCAGGTTGGAGTGGAAGGGTGGAGGCTGTAGCAACTAGCTGAGGGAGCATTTATGGGCTTAGTTATTTGAACAAATGTGAACTCGAAGGAGGCAATCCTTCAAAACGGATCCCAAGTGACTAACTGGGCCTAAATTTAAAAGAGAGCCAAGGGACGGGCTATTTTCTGGCTAAAAGTCACACACATCCTCTGAGTTGCACTAAAGCCACACTTTTTTAACTTTGGGACTTTCAGAACTCACCTGAACCAACCAATCAGAGCTTACCTGTCTCAGCCAATCAGGGATTGGCTCTATCAATCATTCAGGGCTCAGCTGTATTAACCAATCAGGACTCAGCTGTGTCAGCCAATCAGAAAAAAGGAAGTTTGAATTCTTTATTTACATAAAGGGACCTTCTCAGGAAGCTGGGCTGAAACTTTTGCTATAAAACAAAAGTGATTGTTCTCTGGAATCACCTTTATTTTACACATTAGGCTGTGTCTTACCAGACTGCAAACTGTTTACTGGAATAAAGTCTCTTTCCTTCAAATTCCTTTTCAGAGAACTTTGTTCACGGTAGGCCCTAAAGTGCCTACTAAGAAGTTTCAGGGACAGGTCATTCAGACCTTCCCAGCAGAGGGCAGTCACAGCTTGGTTTTTCTCAGGTAACGGTGGCTATATTCCTTGGGTTTCACTGTCTGGGCAACGCTTTGGGTGGGGCAGTTCCCTCTCTTTTGCAGAGAATCTTCTCTAATCTATGGTTAGGGAAAAGGCTTTTATTGAGGTCTAAAATTCCAGAGAAGACCTTGGCGATATTATAACTACATTTTTTTCATACAGGGTATAGAAATGATGATATATCCACATCGATTTTCTTTTTGCTTCCCTGCTCTCAGGTTTAATCAATGATGATGTTGGAATGTGTCTGTTCAGAATTTAATATGATTTAGACAAAGGCTTGAAGTTATGGTTGCTTAATTAAAATTTTCTCTTGTAAAAGAAGAAAACATAGACGATTGAAGGTGGAAAACTTTGAGATTTAAGAAATATATGAGGAATCTCCTCTCCTGCCTCCACCAGCTTAAGGAAATTCAAACCCCTAGAAAGTACTTATTATTTAAATGATTATTTTTCTAGTGATTCCTGATAATTTATTAAAGCCTATAGTCCACAAATCTCTGTTAATTAACTTTATATTTAAAAATTAAAAATGAAATGTTATGCCATTCTTACCAACAACTAGGTTTTAGATAACGATGTGGTATAAATGATTTCGATTAATTACTGTTTCCTTCTCTTCTTTTATTTAAATTTAGGATTCAATATTTATTTTTGCCAAATTATTTAAAAATTTTTTTCTGTTTCATTAGGGAAGTTAGTTCAAGAGACTTCCCTCGCAATAAACTGCCAAGCAGTTTATTACAAAGTCTTACATAGTGCATTCTTAATTTAAATATTATTTGTTTATAGCTGAATTTTCATGAATGATATAAAGTTATCAGACATTATAATACAAGAAACTATAAATATACAGGAGTGCAAATATACACACGGATAGTGTGTACTGTGTTCTGTTTCCATCCTTTATCTTCATGATTTAACTCTATGGGGAGGGCCAGTGCTCATCTTCTGGTCTCGTATAGTAACTGATATGGCTCTACTATGGCCCTTCTCATATTGCTGTGTGTAGTGGTTTACGTATCTGGGAGCCTCTGGAGGGTAAGAGCTGAGGGTCATTAACATTTCTAACACATGTTGGGTGAAGGTGCTTAATATATGTCTACTGAGAGTAAAAGAGTGGTTCTTCTGATTTCATTTTGTTTGAATCTATTTTGGGTTCTAGGTTTCAGATTCAGGTTGACATTTGACCTAGTGCAGAAAAATTCTCCCAAATATAGGCAGAGCTAGTTATTATGCCTTGGAAAGTTTTCAGAAAGAGATATGATCTGTCCCTGCTTTTTCTAAATTCACCAGTTATCTAGCAAGTCATCTGTGTCAGTGCTTATTTCTTCAGTATTTCTGATACTTTTCCCAAAGAGTATTATTAATGCATTGTGTTTGTGACTTCCTTTCCTTTCTTTATAAAAAAGTTTATTTTTAAAAATGTCTCCCTAGCTTTACTGAGATATAATTAACAAATAAAAATTGTATATCTTAAGGGTACACAACATGTTTTGATATACATATGCGTTGTGAAGTAATGACCACAATCAAGTATTCCTTCTTCACCTGTGTCAGATGTGTTGCTGGCTCCTGTTTTGTTGCAATGTGCTTCCTTTGAAAACAGATAAAATGTTGTCACAAAATGAAATGATTGCATCACCTATAAATTCATTATTACTTTAAAGTCCTACCTTGGGCCAATGTTTCTAAGATTAGTATCTTTAAATGAGCAGTTCACCTTAGAGGGAAAAAGGAAATTACATTAGGTCTCAGTTCTTTCATCAAGGAGGCTGGTGGTAAAATTAAAAATTTATTTATACTTTCCAATAATTTTCTTAATTATTTTCAAATATGCTGAAGGCTTGCTCATATATTTTATGAGTTGCATGTATAAAGATCATAAAAACTTAACTCAATTATTAAAACACTAGTGAGGGTAGAAAGCAATCTCATTTACCACAGTCTCATTTGCTATACGAGACAAGACATAGCCTTTAGTTAATCTGTACAACTGTGCTTCAGATTGAACATAAAATGCCTTCATGTACCCATAATTTTTTCTCTTTTCCCAAGATAAGGCTAAGTAATTTCATATCCTTTCTCTTTACATCATTTCTTAGTGTTTTCCTATGTTTTACATAAAATTCACATAAAATTGTTAATGTGAGTATGAGGTTTGCATACAGTATGAGTGGATATTTTCATGGTTTAATCTTTTCTGCCATTTTGCATATTACTTAGAGGAATATATTTGAATGATTCTTATTTACTTTGTAAAAGTAATTTTTCCCCTTTTTATATTCTGACCTTGATTTAGGGAAAGTTGTTACTTTATTAGTGACATCAAATAATTCTCTGATAAACATTGGGTTACTAAAACAGTGTAATGGTCCACAGGAGAATGTATTAGGTAGGTCACAAGGAGAAAACCACTTTTGTTTTTATGAGCATGTCAGCGTACAATAAGGCAGTGCCTGGTTAGGTGCCTGGATGATGACACCAGGCTTGAGTGGTTTGGGTCTTGGTGCCACCATTTACTTACTAGATGCTCTGCATTTTGGCTCGCCATCTACAAAATGAGCACAATAGTAATAATAATGCTAACATTGTAGGTTATTGTGAAGCATAATAAGATAATTGATATGATTTGGCTCTGTGTCTCCATCCAAATTTTATCTCAAACTGTAATCCCCTTGTGTCAAAAGAGCAACCTATAATCCCCACATATCCAGGGAGGCAGGTGATGGAATCATGGGGACAATTTGCCATATGCTGTTCTCATGATAGTGAGTGAGTTCTCATGAGATCTAATGGTCTTATAAGCATCTGGTATTTCCCCTGCTTTTACTTCTCTCCCCTGCTGCCATGTGAAGAAGGTTCTTGCTTCCCCTTCACCTAAGCCATAATTGTAAGTTTCCTGAGGCCTCCCCAGACATGTGGAACTATGAGTCCTTTCCTTTACAAATTACCCAGTGCTGGGTAGTAGAGGGTGAAAGGGTTTGGAAGCGTGAAAAGAAGATAGGAAGATGTGAGAAAGTCTGGACCTTCTTAGAGACTTGTTGAATGGTTTGGACCAAAATGCTGATAGTGATGTGGACAACGAAGTCCAGGCCGAGGTGGCCTCCAATGGAGATGAGGAACTTACTGGCAACTAGAGTAAAGATCACTCTTGCTATGCTTCAGCAAAGAGACTGGTGACATTTTGCCCTTGCCCTAGAGATCTGTGGAACTTTGAATTTGAGAGAGATGGTTTAGGGTATTTAGCAGAAGAAATTTTTAAGCAGCAAAGCATTCAAGAGGTGACAGAGCATAAAAATTTGGAAAATTTGCAGCCTGACAAGCCAATAGAAAATGAAAACCCATTTTCTGGGGAGAAATTTGAGCTGGTTGCAGAAATTTGCATAAGTAATGAGGAGCCAATGTTAATCACCAAGACAATGGGGAAAATGTCTCCAGGGCACAGGGCATGTCAGTGACCTCTGCAGCAGCCCCTCTTAGCATTCTCTGTATAAGAAACATAGAGTAATGCCTACTATATGGTAAACACTTAATATACCTCAGCCATTACTATTAATAATTGTAACAGTCTGGAGAAAATACTAAAGCATAATCATTTATGATATGGTTTGGCTGTGTCTCCACCCAAATCTCAAATTGTAGCTCCCGTAATTCCCATGTGTCATGGGAGGGACCCGGTGGGAGGTAATTGAATCATGAGGGTGGGTCTTTCCTGTGCTTTTCTTGTGATAGTGAATTAGTCTCATGAGATCTGATGGTTTTATAAAGGAAAGTTCCTCTGTACACTCTCTCTCTCTTGCCTGCCACCACGTAAGACATGACTTTGCCGCTCATTTATCTTCAGCCATGATTGTGAGGCCTCCCCAGCCACGTGAAACTGAGTCCATAAACCTCTCTCCTTTATAAATTACCCAGTCTCAGGTATGTCTTTATTAGCAGTGTGAGAACAGACTAATACAATTTATATATAAATTTAATTCTGTCCTATTTTGTGAATGGGTAAAATGAGGCGTATAATTTCATGAAGTATTTATACATGAAGACATCTGTAACAAGTTAGTACCTATTTTATACTAGTAGGCTTCTCTTTTACTGAAAATGACATTTTATCATATATTAAAGAAAATCATATATACATATGAGCTACACTATTTACACAAAGAAATGCTTTTCAAAAAAACAGGAGTTGTAACTTTTGTCACTGACAAAATAGACTTTAATAGTAACAAAGACTAAAAGAAACAAAGGACATTACATAATGGTAAAAGGATCAATGCAACAACAGGAGTCAATGATCATAAATATATATGCACCCAATATAGGAACACCCAGATACATAGAACAAGTTCTTAATGACCTATAAAGAGACTTGGACTCCCGCACAATAATAGTGGGAGACTTTGACACACATTGTTAATATTCGACAGATCAATGAGATAGAAAATTAACAGGAACATCTATGATTTGAATTCAGACCTGGAACAAGTAAACTCAGCGAATATTTATAGAATTCTTCACCCCAGGGCCACAGAACATACATTTTTCTCAGTATCACATTACACCTATTTTGAAAGTGACCACACAATTGGAAGTAAATCACTCTTCAGCATTTGCATAGCATTTCACAGACTTAAAGGAAATATTGGTTGGCTGTTTGTTTGTTATTTTCTTCCCTTATTCCTTCCTGTCTCCGCTGTTAAGCACAATTATTGGCATAAAAAAGGTTTTTAATACCTATTTTTAGATTGCAACAGAACAAGACTCCTATTCTCTCTCCCCTTTCTCTTTCTCTTTCTTTTTAATAAAAAAAAAAAATAAATAAAAAGGTTGCAATTACACAACTAGAAAAATAATCTTCATCTTAGTCTCAAAATAATGAAAACTAACAAACAAATAAATGACAATAACACAGTGTCCTTACCTAAAAGAATGTTGCTTTCTTAGTGCTGAAATCATTAAACTTAATTCCTGAGAAAAACAAATATGGCTGACTTGTCTTTAGGAAAAAAAAAAAGAAATGCTTTTCAAATTTTATGCAGTATTATCCTTAAATGTGGGTGAGAATAGTGAACTAATAAAACTGGAGGGTAAAGGGGAATCGATGAAAAAAGCCAGCCAAAGAAAAATCTATCTAAAATCTCATGTTTTACCATTTAAAAATTGTGAATTTGCCCTTTGATGCCTGTATTCGTCAGCTTCTGGCAGGAGACAGCTGTCATTTTCAAACTGGGTAATTGAGGAGAGTGTTACAAAGAGACTATTTATAAAGGTATAGGTAGGTTTTAGGGCAGTCACAAAGTAATAGCGCAGTGCTGTCTAGCAGCAAACTGGGGTCAGGCACATCACTCTTAGGCCTGATGAGTCAAGGGGAAGGAGGAGTTGCCAGGACCCAGCCTAATGGAGAGTTCTGCCTGGTAGGGGTTCTGACTTTGTTGAGTTTGACACCGCCAACATGAAGCATCATAATGGCAGGGTGAAGGGGAGGTGAAGGGGGCGGATTAAGGAAACAAATGCTCCAACCTTACTCTCCTCCCTGCAACTACCTCTAGCCAGCACTTCTGAATGGCTGAATGCAATGGATAGCAGGATGGTAAGGGAGCCTGTTGAATCTGCCTATGCAAGTCAGCCTCCAAGTGCATAGGACAAGATGAATAAGGGTGAAGAATGGATAGAGAAGAGCAAATGAGAGATATCTAGTATAATAAATTTATATTTGCTATAATATTAAAATGACTTCAGCATTTACCCATTAAAACTACCATCACATTTTTCAGTAAAATTGATGCTTCAGGATGGAAGGGTTTATGTGTCATGGTTTGGGTAGCATTGACATAAGCAAGTCCTTTACTACAAAATAGATGTTTGGCAATTTTGAATCTGTAACTGAGTTGAATGGTGTTGTATTAGCTTTTTGGGTGGCCACGCAATGAACTACTGCAAACTTAGCAACTTAATATAAAATAAATTCATTATCTCACAATTTCCGTAGTCCATGCACAGGCTAGCTGGATTCCCTGATTCGTGTTTTGTCTAGCTGAAATCAAGGTGACCGCCAGGGCTGCAGTCTTCATCTGAGCTTGGGAGTCCTCATCCAAGATGACTGGTTGTTGGCAGAATAGACTTCCCTGCAGTGTGTAACTGCATTTCTGTTTCCCTTCTAGCTATCAGCTGGGATCATTCTCAGCTCCTAGAGGTTGTCTGCAATCCCTGCAAATGAGGCCTCTGTAGGCAGTTCACAAGGATGTTTGCTTTCTACCAGGGCCAGTTGGAGAATCTTGCTGACTTCCTCTTCTGGAACCACCAGAGAATACTCTGTCTTTCAAAGGGCTCATGTGATTATGTCAGGCCCACCCAGATAATCTCCCTAATTACAGCCTGTATTACATCCAGTAGTAATTGAATAACTGGGAAAAGGTATGTGTACACCAGAGGCTGGGAATCTTGGGGACCATCTTCAGGTTTCGCCTACCACAGTGGGCCTTAAAAAAATTGCAGTGCTCTTTCTTTCCAGTCCCTGTGGAGGATCTGATGTTGTTGCTGACCCCTAAAACCTGTGGTGGCTTTGGAGCCTCTAGACTAGCAGGAGCCACACATGTAGATGCCTTTAGGGGCTAAGCAGATTTCATAATCATGATAAGGTCATCATTAGTGACAACATCTATTTCAGTTTGGGAGACACTTCTTGATTCAGACACAGGTCATTCAAAATTGCAAATATAGTCTCAATTCAAATTTAAAATGTGAAGTCTCATGTAGTAATGATGTAAATAATACTGTAATACTTGTTTATAATTCAGGCTTCTCTTCTTTCGAGCACTATGGACCTACATTGGGCAGAGAGGTGTGATTTTGATAATTTTCTTTTTCTATCCCTTGAGATTCCATTTCTGCCAAATAATCTAGTTGAAGATCAGGGAAGGTCACACTTTCTGAGTACTGCACTCTGCCTGTGTCAGGTGTTTACACTGAACTCCTCTCATGGGCTTCCAGTTTCTCTTTGGAGAAACTTCCCCCTACAGCCTCACTCACATACTGGTTAAGCTTTGTGTCCCCACCCAAATCTCATCTTGAATTGTAATCCTCACAACCTCTACATGTCAAGGAAGAGAGCAGATGGAGGTAATTGAATCATGGGGGTGGCTTCACCCATGCTGTTCTTGTGATAGTGAGTTGTCATGAGAGCTGATGGGTTTATAAAGGGCTCTTCCCCCTTAGCTTGGCACTTCTCCTTCCTGCTGCCTTGTGAAGAAGGTGTCTCGCTTCCCCTTTGGCTTGCCATGATTGTAACTTTCCTGAGCCCTCCCCAGCCATGCTGAATTGTGAATCAATAAAGTCTCTTTCCTTTATAAATTACTCAGTCTCAGGTAGTTTTTTATAGCAGCATGAAAACTAATACACCCGCTCACACATCACCAGATATCTCCAACTGGAAGATCTCTTAATACAGGTGAAGGACTCTCTTCTAACTCTTGCACATAAAGTTCTTAATTCAGCTTCCATGAATCTGGAAGGTTTCCTCCAGCACTATTAATCTGTAGGGATTAGAGATTTGTTAGTGAAGTTTAGCATATTTTCATATGTTTATGATGCTTGCTTATATAGTTTGACTAATCTATTTTATTGTTCATCTTTTTAAACTAATTTGGTGTTCTTTCTATTTTCTAGATTCTAGTACCTGACTTCTCTTTTAATTTTTGTATGAAGTCTTTTTTATCAAAGTTTTAAATGTTAATGTAGCTAAATTTACCAATTTTGCATCACCTTTTCTCTCTTTTTTGAATTGGTAATATTTTATTAGTATTTAGCTTTATATTTTAGAAATCACATTTAATGTGATGAAGTTAAACTTAATGAAAATCTTTTCCTAATTCTTAAAGGTCTGACAATTTTACATGTTTGAATGTATTGCCCTCATGCTTTAAACAAAAAGAAATACTTTTAAAGTCACATGTATCTCACAGACGTACATTAAAACCATTCTTAGTATTTACCTAGATTTATAAATAGTTTATTAAATAGAATAAAATGGCAAAATTCAAGACTTTTAACAATTAGAGTGGTAAAGTTCAAGAAAAAAAAAAACAAGTCACAAGGGTAGGAGAAGGAATGAACATTATTTTGCCTATGCCGTTTAATTCCCATGAATTTGCAAAGTGAGTAGTATTACTCTCAATTTCCGGAAGAATGCACTGAAATAGTTTGGATATTTATCCTCTCCAAATTTCATATTGAAACTTGGAGGTGCATCTGGTAGGAGGTGTTTCCGTTTTCTTGGCCAAAGAATTTAGCTTGTTTGACTTGAAGCTGAGAGTTGAACCCAGTGTCCTTTCATTCCAAGCCCAGGTATATACCATGATATCTCTGTGATCATCCAATTTATATGTTCCAGGTATCTGTGCCATTGGGAAAAACTCTGTAAAACTGTTCTTATATACATTATACCTCCTAAGGTTCAGACATAGGTAGAAGTGCTCAGCAAAACACTTGCCACAAAGGCATTATTTTTTGTTTTGGCTTTGGGCTAAAAGAACATAGTTAACAAGCAAATGCTTTTGAGCCCTTTAAGAAGTTTTATCTTGCTTTTAAACACCTATGATATCTTTGGCAATGACATTCTGCTTATTATTTTTAATGGCAGGTCAAGGCTCTTTTGTATTTTGATTGAAAGGTGTCAAGTGGGACTACATAAGTGTAGGGAAATATCATTCTTGAGATGCCAATACTCCCACCAGAAATCTTTGCAAGCAATTTCAGCTTCCATCCAGAAAATCTGAATTTCACCTATGTTAGACCTCTGTGATATATTTAGAAAAACCAGCTGCAGAACATTGTTAAGGTAGTTATAAGGGTCTAAACATTTTAACACTCTGTATATTAGCTCAGTGGTTGTTTAGAATGGTGTTAAAGAAAGTATAATAACGTTGGCATTCCTAAGTCCATTAAGAATGTGCGTGCTATGGTCTAAATGTCTGTATTCCTCCAAACCTCATGTTGAAATCCTAACTCCCAAGGTGATGGTATTAGAAAGTGGGGGTTTTGAATGGTGATTAGGTGGTAGTCACAGAGCCCTCATGAGTGAGATTAGTGCCCTTTTGAAAGCGGCCAGGGAGGGACCCTTCATCCCTTCCGCTGTGTGAGGACACAGCAAGCAGGCACCGCATGTGAGCAAGTGGGCCCTCACCAGAAACCAAATCAGCCTTGATTTTGGAGTTCCCAGCTTCCAAAACTGTAAGAAATAAATTTATTTTATTTACATGCCTCCCAGTTTACGATCCTTTATTATTATAGCAGCTCAAATAAACTCAGAGCAGTTGACCAAAAGTGATCTTACATGGTTTATAAAATGCAAACCCTTCACAAGAAACAAGAGGTATTTTGAGTTCACATAGTCCAGTGAAGCAAGACTATGCTAAAAAAGATGTTCTTCTGTTTGCTACTCAACATTGAAGATGTAGAAGAGTGAGAACATTTGGCTGGAAATGGCACCTAATGAAACAAACACCTGTTGGTGGGACGTGAGCAGCTATAGGCGTAAGACAAACTATCTCAGCCCTCCTGAAACTTGCAAGATCTAACTTCTCCATCAATGGCATTTATAGCTTTGGAAATGCATGAGGCTTAATTTGGCCAAGAATAAATGTCTAAGTGTGCAAGAGTTATATAGTGGCAGCCACAGGGCACCATTTTAGATTAAAATAGTGGGCATTTATACACACACACAGCAGTTGGAGGGAGAGTATGGCTTTTGGAAATTTTGAAGCAATCACTGTTTAAAGTTCATGGAAAATTCACTAAATCATTGTTTTGAGATTTGGGTTTCATATACCTTGTACCTCTCCTTCTTTACAGATCTTTAATGAATTGAAGACATTCAAGAAGGCAAAAAGGGATCAAAATGTGTTAGTTTTACTGCTGGTCAAGTCAAACTGGAGGATATGGCTGGGCTTTCCATCTCCTTCTAAGAACCCAAACTGCAGGATCCCAATTTATTTTCTCAGGAGTAGGCAGAAAGGCTGGACTACACAGCAGACACCTGATGGCTCCGGGCAAGAGGCAGCTAAGCCTGGACAATAAGGCAATCTAAGTGCCCTGGAGCCCCACCCAGCCGTTACCTCACCCCCTGCCTGCATTTTCACCATGCTCCGCCCTCATCACTCTCACCAAACAACCCACACACACACACATACACACACACACACACACACACACACAAACGACACATACATTCTGCTGTGCCCAGAGCAGGAAAAATCTTGTTTTGATGACCAGGAGGCATTGTTAATTCTATGGGAATTCTATTTTAATTAAAGAAAAAAGTTCTTTCATTGCAAATACTTCCAGTTCCACAGCAGATTCTTGGCAGAAGTGTGTCACATGGAAAATCAACTGATTCTGCATATCCACGGTTAAAAGAATGATTTAAATAGCAGTGGAAAAAACAATAACAACACTAACAAAAAAACAGAATAAATTGTATTCTATATTACATTTATTATGCCAAGTGAGATGTGAAAAAATAATATTCTAAATTTTTTGAGGGCAAAACTAAGTCATTAGTTGAATTTAGGAATTTTAAGCATCCATTCAAAAATCAAATCCAAAATGAAGGTGTAAGTATATGTAATTCCAAAAGCTTTCTCCATCTTCGTATAAATTATAACATTTCTTCTTTTGTCTAGGAAGTTAAGTTTTATTGGTCAATATCTGGAGGATGAGAACTTTCTTAAATGATTTTATGACATTTGTACATAAACATTATAAAAAACATAACTTTAGATTTGAATATTGATACATTCATAAATGGAATTTCCATTTTGAATATTTTTGTCTTAAGTGATTTCATACTATACTATACTTTTGATCTTTCTCAGCTGAGTATTTACACACATAAATGATTCTCTTATTGAAAGTTACAGTTTTTCTGGGTATTATTTAAGTTAATATACATCTTTCAAAAATAATCACATAAGTTTATCTTTTAAGCAACAGTAAGTAAGTATTGACAAACATCAAGATTTCAGGTATGCTGCACTTATAAACATGTATACCTTTAGCAGTTAAAAAACACTGCCACTCTAGTTGTAATCGTAGTGTTCTTATAGCCGGTTAATCTTTCATTTTTATTTCATATATAAAGATGACACATTGATTCTTTAAAACACGAATATGTATTTAAATGTTATTCTTAACTTTCTACTGAGAAGTGGTTGTTTGTACTTTGCCAGATGAAATTCTCTATCAAGGGGTGATTCTGGTACTTTTTGTAGATGGAGTCTTGCCCTGTCTTCCAGGCTGGAGGGCAATGGCATGATCTTGGCTCACTGCAACCTCCGCCTCCTGGGTTCAAGCGATTCTCTGTGAGTAGCTGGGATTATAGGCACACATCACCATGCCCAGCTAATTTTTGTATTTTATAAAGACGGGGGTTTTGCCATGTTGACCAGGCTGGTCTTGAACTCCTGACCTCGGGCGATCCACCCATCTTGGCCTCCCAAAGTGCTGGGATTACAGGCATGAGCCACTGCACCTGGCCTCCATTCATATTTTCAATCCAATACCCAACCAACATAGTTTTTAGTGTCAAGGAATCAGGGTCAAATTGTATTAGGTGTGAGAACCAGATCCGACTTTTTGATCCCTAATAGAGCATTTCCTTTGAGAAAAAATGAGATGAATTAGAAAAATATCAATTCACTGGTTGGAACTTTGATAAGCTGACCAATCTTGTCCAGAGACACTTGCCAGTTAATGATTCTAACATGTTACCTAGTCCACACAGTGTCACCTATTACTGATAATAATTTTTATTTGAGTCCATCTTAAGGAACTCAAGATATGAGGCAATTTAAGTGCCCTGGAACCCCACCCAAGGGTTCATTGCTCATATCCTATTATCTCACTAGCATCATCTGCACTTTTTTTTTTCATTTAAATCTTTGGTTTCTCTTTGGTGTTGGTAAGCATAGTTTTGCTGAGCTCAAGAGAAGAATGCCTGTAATGATATCCACTTTGAGTAATTATACATGCTTGAAATCTAGGGATCTATCTCCAAAAAATGTAGGGCTTTTATTGGTTTGTGTAAATCAACACGTTGATACATGTCCAAAAGGAGTCTCATTGGTTTTCACCACTGTTTGCCATTTCCAGATATAAAATTAGGTGCTTAAGGAACAGCATTAATTCTCTGTAGCTACTCAGGTAACAGTCTGTGCTTCAGATGCCTTGGGAGCCATATTTTTCTTAGCACAAAGTCTGTTACCAGGGAGTAACACCATTAAGTGAGAGGCATCTAATCCAATATTAATATTTGTAAAACAGAGCAGTCATGGAAAGATGTAGCTTTCAATTCATTGTTTTAATTGGTGATTTATTTGAATATAATAGTATAAATAAAATGCATTATGTGTGCATATGTATGTGGATAAGCTATTTACATTTTTATGTGTAGAAATGAAATTATATATTGACTAGCCCTTTTGAGGCCTTTGAACAACGATTTCATCTTCCCTCTTTCCTGCAACTGTTTTGAGGATTTAGATAATTCATACAAGGTATGTACACAATCACACCCATAGTATGTACATCCTAATCACACACTTAACACAGAGAGGATGTGTGAGGAATGTAAATCATCCCAGTGGTCAAAGAACTGACCTTACCTGTGACTGATGGCATGGTAATTAGCCCTGGCATATTTAATAATATGCCAATGTACTGATTACTATATGCAGCCTTTGTGATAATTATGCACCTACTCAAGGAGATGATAAAAAAACAAAACAAATTGAACAGCCCTTCTGACCTTCAAAAATAAAAGAACAAATTCTGTTATTGAATACATGTGGACACTTTTGTTGGCTTTTTCACGTATGTACATGTGCCTACCTGATGATAGAAATTGACCTTTAAATGGGAGACAAGTTATTTTTTTCTACACATAAAAATAGAAAACCATCACTCAGACTGTACACACTCACAGAATGTATTGACATACCACAACCAGCTACAGTATTATGCACAACATATTGTTCACACATTAGTACAGCAGAGATAAACACATTTAGAAATTTAGTAATTGCTAGTATATATTTTTCTTGTTGACCTTTCTCAACCTCAATAAAAGGTATCTCTAATGGCCCTTAAAACAAGAATTATTTTCTCCTCTCCTCTAGGGATTGGAGACTGTGATTATAATACTGCAATCTCCTGATATACAAGCATCATTTTAAGACATGATGGAAAACATTAGGAAAAGTAAGTTACTTGAAGTGATCTAAAATAAATGTTAAGGAATCTAAAAAATCATTAAGGATGCCGATTAACATGAGTAAGCCCTTTCTACTCATTTTATATAGTTTGTTCTATACGCAGCCTTCACATGTTATTAAAAGCAATGCTATGAATCAGAAAAAATTATTTAACTGCTAGAGTTTTTCTAAAGAGACACAATTTTTAAAGCAACAAACAACACTAGCAGCGATGTTAAAAAACAAGGTATAATTTTTGCCTCAGAAATAAATGGATGGCATCGTCCTAGTTAAGAGATCAAGAAAGTTGTTAGCATTTCTCTCCCATTTAATTCTTCCTAACTTGCTTAAATCACTGGGGTATCTAATCATAATTATCACCACGCTGGTTCATCATCAGTATCTTTTTCTAAAGTGTAAAATACGAGATTTTTATTCCTACTATTTTGCAGCCAATTAATTTTGAACTTGGATCAGAAAGATACTTGATAAAGACTTGGCATTTAGAACTGCCCATCTGGAACATCATTTTCTGTAAGGCGTCATTTGAAGCCTCTTTGGATACAAGTACTCATGTTTTAATGATTTTACATCCAGGAGCCCACTTTTTTTCACAGCTAAAGCTGGTAATCCTATGGGCAGAGTTAATTGAATTGCTTTCTACATGCTAGTGTCCAGAGAGAGTAATTACCATAAATTTAAAGTCTCCATTTCAACAAAACTTTTGGTTGGAGCTGTCTTGAGTTTTAAGCCAGCAGGACTTTGAATGGTTCCACTTTTGTCTTGGCTAGCACAACAGGGATGCCAACTGTATTCTTATGAATGGTCACTTGTGCTGTACCTCTTTATGAAGCTTCTAAACAAGTTTTTCCAGGAAGAAAGCAGAAACTATGCCTTCACTTATTTTATCCTGTGGGTTACAGTCAGTCTTCATAAAGCAAACCAACATTATATAATGGTGTGCCCATAATAGATGCATTTGCTGGTATAACTGCCTCTTTTTGGCACATTATTGCTTGGCTTTAATTTCATATTCAACAGTCTTTATTCTCATGATAAGTATCTGAGATACTTGGGTCTTAAAAAAAAACTTGTAAATTACATCTGGTTGCACCATTCTGGCCACCACAAGTCATTTCACCAAGGACCATGGTTATTTGAATGTTCTTTATAATTATCATCACTTTGATTTACTTAATAGCCAAAAGTAATGTTTCAGGATTGTTTGTTCCTGCTATCTATATGTATATACAGATGTACAGATGTACTGGATTTACTTTGAGAGGTTATTTGGTTGTGGCAAGTGAGTAGTTTAGCTAGTGACTGTTCACAGTAAAAATAGCTGTAATGACCTCTGGCAGATGTCACTGATCACTTGGGAGGCAGAATTTTTCCACTTCAATCAATCTTCATTTATGTCCTTGGTCATTGCAAGCCAAGCTTATTTGATTTCTGCAGCCAAGGAGAATTGTTTTCTTTCCAAGAGTAGGATAAAGTTCATGGAAATCTGTTTCAGTATTTACAAGACTGTTTTTTCCCCTGTTTGCAAAAATGTCTAAAATATTGTAGACATCCTGAAGCCCATGTGTCTGCACAGATGACATTAGTAATTAGCCAGTTGAAGAATTTCATTAAGAAGGATATCGTTACAAGGATGGACAGGAGATTCAGCATATTTCCTGTTATTTGCCAGGTGGCAGCAGCTGACCCGAATTTGGAGAGAATCAACCACAAAGAACCACGCACAACGTCAAGAAGCATTGCTAACAGAAAACAAAATGCTCAGATACATATGTAAATTAACAAACACAGAAGGGGACATTTGACTTCTGAATTCACCATATACACAAAAACGGTGCGGGGACAAGGTAGTCGGCTCACTTATCCAAGATACTGCTGAGTTCACTGTTCTATCACAAAGGGAAATTCACAGGTCTTATTTCTCAAACACCACTTAGAACAAAACAGGAGAGAGTAAACAGCATCATCTCTGTGACAGTATTACAGATAATTAGTAAATCAGGCAGGTAGAGGTCTACACAAGGCTACAAGTCCCCTGTTTTCAATAAAAACACATATACATATATGCAAACCTTATCTTAATGTATTGTTTTACCTTATACTGATTCATAAAAGTAGACAAGGGATATGGTGAATTATATGTTACTAGAAGTAGACAAAATTTTAAACATTTGGCACAATATGTAGGAGGAAGAGAAGACACATTTCTCACATTTCGGCAGCAAAACAGTAACAAAGTCGATGCAGCAAAGGCCACACAATTTATATTAACAGCACACTTGCATATATCCTCTGTAAACACATTTTAAAGTCACGTCATACTCTGTTCTTGGTATGATATATACAGGGATTCCCAGAATGACAGGCATTCCCAGAAATGAGAGGAAAAAACATTAGTATAAGCTAGGAACAGTGAACCCTCAATATGCTGGAATACAAACGAATGCTATTTTCCTCTTCTGCTTTCTACTTTAAGACAGCAAGCTCCTGTTAATTTGGTTCTGAAATCCAGCCTATAAGGTATGTGTTACACATGCATATTCAGTCCAATTTATTTCAATGTTGATGTTTAACCTTATAACACGATGAACACTGATATTCAAAACAGTATCAGAGAATTCTCAAGATTAAAAAAATTATCAAAGATCAAATTACATTCAATATAGGTGAACTTATCAAGGTAGGAAACATACTAACACATTTTATAAATATTTCATTTCAGACGCGAACAAAAGGTTTCTGGTTAAACTTGACGTAACAGGGTGTTCAACTCTTGCCACTGACCCAAAGCACAATGGTTAATCAGTGTATTACTCTATGTAAAGTAGTTGGTCTGTGGTATTCAAAGTCAGTAATCCAGAAAGACATAATTAGAAAAGCATTCGAGATAAACATGACAGCTAAAGCTGTGACATTTTTCTCATGATCATAAAAATAGAACAATCAATCAATCTTGTAATTAAAAATTTTTAGTATTCACTTGTTAAATGGTATGGCATCTTAATATTTTAAATGTTGAACTGTCTTTCAGGCATGGAGTTCATCTTTTTACTACTGGTTTAAGAAATGTTTCTTATTCTTGATTTAATAAAATATTTCCTGTCTATATTTCAAAAATAAAATGCATGAAAAGGAACCAAATTATATCTAAAAGAAATGAAGGGTAAAACGAAATAACTTTCAACCCAACGTGTGTCATGCAGGTAAAGTAAGGAAAGAACTGAGCAAGTTCAAAGAGTCTGCCATAAAAACCGTTTTGCAACTTAATTTTTGAATGAACCTTAGGTTTCACAAATGAGGAATACTAAACACCTAATGCTACGTCACAGATTGATGTGAAGGAAAATTCTTAAGTAAGGTTTTATTGTGAGAGTACTTAGGATAGGTATCACAATATAAAAATGCTGCTGTCTTGAATAGGTTCCTATCTTATTAATCCATCTGAAGATATATTTGTTATTGTCCTTAAAAGCTGTTAGTTCTATAGGATTTAATGAGCAACAAAACAAACAATATTTTTGTAATATTTTGTGATAATCTTTTGAGTGTTGTAGAAATAAAGAATTTGGTTCTAGCACCAAAGAAAACCAGTTAAACTTAGTGCATTAAACAAATTTTCTTAAAGTTTTGAGTGGCATAACTACAACAGCAAATCTAGCAATTCTGATATATTTAATGTGAGACAAATGTCTACAACTCTCTCAGGCCTTTGCCTCATTTAACTGTTTACAAATCATGTGGTTACTCTAAAGTTGTGAAAATAAATATTATTATCAGATGCGAAATTCCTTTTTCTTGCCTATTTTAATGCAGGGACAGCCTGTTCTAGCCACTTCACAGCAGAGGATTACCTGGGGCCCACCCATCTGGAGTAGGCACTGTTGACAGCTGCTACTGTGTACACAGGCTGTACTCTGTGTATACACAGCATGTATGCCCACGTGGGAAGGAGACACCAGTGAGCAGAAACCAGCAGAGAGGTTATGTTCTGGCAGAGGCATCTGAGACAGAAGTGACACAAACACGGCTACAAATGGGTATTTAAGGCCCAAACAGAGAACTTTAGGCTAAATCTCTAATCATTAATAGTAATTTGCTTGGTAATTTGATGGCAATTTTGACATTACATAGTATTCTTAATAGATACCAATCAGTAAGAAACTGAAAAATGTGCCTTATTAAAAAATTCCTCCTAAGTTCCAAATAGAAAAACTGTAACGATTCTCAGGCTCTGAGAATACTGGTTGACGAATGCAAGCTTTGTCTACAGTTAAATTGCTTCAAAATAAATCAAAGTCTTTTTATTAATTTAGGTTGTGCCGGGTGTAGCTTGTGCTGTTCAAGTTCAGGAATGGTTTTCTTCCCTGCATATGTTCAGAATGTGTAAAACAGAATTTAAGTTGAAAAAAGCCAGAACAGATACTGTGAATTGACTGTACCCACGGGAAACATGAGTCTCTGGAGAGAATACTCATGGTTAGGTAGGTACTCTTTTCTAGCTCATCTTGGGGAATGAGTTCAGAGAAGGCAATTGGTGCCCCTCCAGCATCTAAGTCTGGTTTTCTAAATGCCAAATGGAGACCAGCAATCTCCCCACAACATCTGCAGGAAGGGAAGCCTTCCCAGGGCCGTTGTTCCTTCCTTCTTTCCACGCTACCCGCTCAAGCCACTGCTGCTCATCCAGGCCAGTGCCTTGGAGGATACTCGTGTGTCTTGGAACATGCTTCTCTTCCGGAGACACGTGAGGTCTGAAGTCAGACAGGTGCCTATGTTCCCAAGGAGCATATTCCACCCAAAGCATAAGCCATGTTTTTGTAAAGGCCTCTTCTTTCATTGGGTTTGAAGAATATGAAGGGTATTTCTCTTAAAATCAATAAGTTTGCTGAAGTTACCTTTTTACTCCAGAGTATACACTTAAGCAATTAGATGATAGTCTATGTACAAAAACTGAAAAGGAGCTCATGTTCTAATTTGGTGTTGACTAGATTTGTTATTGGAAGTTATTGCACCCAATTAAAAATAATCACAAATTGCATCCTGTTTACAGAAGTCTAAACTAAACATTGTTTTTGTTGCTTATGAGGTTTTTATCATCACAGAAAAAGCAGTGTTTGGTAATCTGCTATTTATAGTTCCTTACCAAAATCTTAGCATCCTCAGTAGAATATCACTGGAGAACACTTGTACAATATCAATTTAGTATTATCCCTAATTTGATGATTCTTTCAAGAATTCAGTCCCATGTACTTCCTCTAGGGCAAGAAAATATGAATATGTCCGGTCAGAATCACAAAGATGCACCTTGTGTTCAGTGCAGGAAAATATGTCTATATAAATCTATGTTTAATGTAGGCAGTTTTCACATTCAAAAGCTTAGCTAATGTTCCTAATGTAACTTTCTTATATTTATTAACAGCTGTAAGAAGGTTTATACAAAAGTTGTCTGCAGATGTTTACAAACATTAAATCACAGTTGGTATATTTAATGTTATCTGGCCTAGGAATGAATCCAGTTTTTTCTCAATTTATTTTTCGTTATGATTCTTATCACCTATTTAAAATTTGTGTGGTTACAGCATTGTTATTGCAACAGGACTAGAAATTATAACACTGTTTTTTGCCAATAGTGTTTTTGCTACTTCCAATATGAAGCAGGGATTTTAATGGAAATTATTGTGTGATAAGCTGAGGCAGTAATACAAAATGATACATGTATAATAATATAATAATAATGCTCTCTCTACGAGCAACATCATATTTTTAAAAACCCAGTGAGTATTATTTTCAATTAATTAAGATTGCAAACCTTCAGTGAAGCTTGTTTCTCCTCTCCTGTTCCTTCTTTCAAATTGAAATGACATTTTTGTTTATAGAGCTCTAGGTCAATTTTTAATAGCAATTTCTTACAGTGAATACTTGCTTTTCCTTCCTGGTCTTGCAGGGAAAAAAAAAGCAACTAAGCAAGCTTTGACACAGACGGACACATGTGAATACCATAAATTTATACAAAAACTCCCATAAATATTTCCTTTCAATCTAACACAGAAGAAGGGGCAGGACGGACGCAGCAGTTGGGGCGTCGGAAGTTCTGCAGCATGGACTGGAAAACACTGTGCTGCCTTCCTTTGAGCTTCTTATTTGAAGAAGTATCTGAGGAGATGGATCTCCGGGTCTGGCTATTTTGAGTTTTGATTAATTTCTCATGTTCCCTGATTTGTCTTTGTAAATGGTTCTGGATTGCGATTCCCAGGGACTCTGCGTCCAAGGAAGCACCATACACCTCCCAGGTCATTCCCTGCTCATCCCACACCACGTCCCTGACACGCTTGGACTGTTTCAGCTGGAGCTTGGAGTCCGCGCCAAGCTGCTTTTTCTTCTCTCCCGAAGTGAGTCCTACCTGAGCAGCAGCTGCTGTCACATTTAACTTCTGCTCCTTGAGGAACTCGCTGACGCGGCTGGGCCTGCGTGGGCTGGCTTTGACGGAGCGAGATGGCGTCTTCTTGCTGGAACCTGGGCTGGAGTCACTCATGGGATCAGATGGCAGGCTGAGGCTTGTGGCTGTCTTGGTCTGTCTGTTTTCTTCTAAGGTGCTCTCCTGGTTGTTCCTAACTGGGGAGGGTGTAGGATTAGCAGCTGATTCTGTGCCTCCACTTTCTTGAGATTTAGGATTGAGCAGTAGGGTTTTGGCATCCGAGGTTTTGGTGCCAGTGGACTCTTTTTCTTTTACTATCTGGGGAGATGCAGGCTTCTTTTCCCTTGCACCTCCTTTATTTGTGGGATCCAAGCTCCCAGAATGGTCAGATTTGCCGGCAGAGCCACAAGAGTCAGATAGTTTGCAATCTGACTCTGTTTTGTGGCCATTTGTAGTTTTCTTTGCAAACTCAGACTGCCTGGTTTCAAATTTTCCCAATCCATAACTTGTTTCAGCTTGACTGCATGCACTGATAGAAATCTGGTCAATGGTGCTAGATTTCAGGGAGCTGGAATTAGTACCTGCAAGCTTTTTATAAGTTGATTCTTCCCTCATTGGACTCATTCCTGCTAACCTCCCATCTTCTTTAAACGTATCCTGGGCATTACTGGAGGCCAAATTGATTGATGAGATTTTAAGGACCTCATCTGGTAGGCTCACTAGTTTATTTTCCTGTTGGAAAGCTGTAGAAACAGTTGCAGCTGCCTGAATGTGTACCTGTGGCATGATGGCAGGGCACCTACTGGACTCCTGGGGGGCTTGTATGCTATCAGAGAGCTCCAGTGTGTGGCTCCCACTGCTGTGGCAAATGACACGCAGCTGCTCTTGTTCAAAATGCTCAGGAGCAGGGCTTTCCTTCAGGAATGCAGTGAGGATACTGGGGCTGGTGGAGACGGATCTGCTCTCCACATGTGCCACTGCCTGCACCTCTGCATCTTGCCAAGCCCTGCTGGGAACTTCCTTGATCTCACTTTCAGCTTGGTTGGTCATCGTGCTGGCTTCTTTGAACCTTGACATCTGATGCTGTGCTGGGAGCAGCACCTTCCCTGGACCTGGAGGGCATGCCGAAGGTCTGCTAGTGACAGGGGATGGTTGAGGTGTCACTGAAGTTGTGCCCTGGGGGCCTGAGGCAGTGACAGAGGGCTGCTTGTTCTCTGAACATTCAGATCCTCTAGTTAGAGGTTTATAGGATCTCATTTCAGTGTCACAGATGGCTCCCTGCCTTTCCCCTTCAGGTCCACCTGCAGGAGAGGATGAATGACTGACCACCCTGGCTGCTGTCACTGGAGTCTGCACTGTTCCCTGGATTGCTTCGGGAGAAGGAAATTCATAGGACACCTGATCTTTGCTGCTACTGAGGATGTCTCCCACAGGACAACTTGGTTTCTCAGATTGCTCTCTATTTGAGGTTCTCTGTGATCTCATCAGGGAATCTTCAGGCGTGGATGAGGTGATGGCATTGGGCTGATCACCTGGGATGGACTGGCGGGTGTGCTGACTGGCTGGCATTGTCATTGGTGTGTGTATAAGATCCCTTTCTGCTGCAGAATTTGCAGCTGGTGCTGCAGGCTCGCTGCTCCCTGGCAGCTGGAGATTGCCTGGAGAGTTGAATGTGGCAGATGCTTTCTCCACTTCATTGAAGACACCAGGAGAAGACATAGCTGGCTGGGTGGTCTCATGCTCACAAGCCTGCATCAGGGCTTCAGCAGCTGCCCTGGGGCTGAGGTCTGCTTCTGCAGTGGTACCAGAAAAGCCATTGGCATTCTTACACAGGAGAGCTGGTTGATGCTGAGGTGAGGCAGCCTGCAGCTCTCCTAGATCCTCTTCTTTTCCGGAAACTGCAATCAAGGAAATTTTAGCTGATCTCAGAGGGTCAGGTACAGTCCCCATGGAATTTCTCTTCAGGAGCACTCCAGAGCTCTCTCTTGGGTAGTGTTCCCACTGGTGGGGGAAGGGTGATGCCGTCAGAGCTCAGAGTATTGACACGGTCAGGGTTAATTCCTCTGAAGAACCAGTCTGTGAATCAAGGGAACAGCATCATTAATACAGTACCTCACTTAAGGACTGAAAAATATACCAAACTGTCATTTTTATAAGAGCATATTAAAACTTTTCTTCCCATATCTGTTGATATAAAAATAGACCTTGGTGGAGAGAACAAAAAAATAAATAAAAATAGACTTAGGAAAAAAGATTTTGAAAACAATTATAATTACAAAAATATTATTTTGACATATTAGTTGCTACTTGCATCCTACTAATGTCTAGCAAACAGATTTCTCATGTATCTACCTAAGTTTGCTAACTACCTCAAAAGTTATTGGTGTAATTTGATGTAGCAGATGTCAGAAAATCCTGTAAAGTCACTCTCATTAAATCAATATGTAAGTATTAAAATTGGCATAAACAGATATGCGAAATAGGAAATCTAGGGATAGATCCAAATATAAATGGGGATTTAATCTATGACAAAAGTGGCATTGTAATTTGGTGGTGAAAAGCTGAGCTCTTTCATAGAAGGAACTGGCAAACTTTATTCATCTGGAAGAACAGCAAAGTAGATCTTAATATTTATCAATTCCAAAAATAGATCCTAGGTGGATATAGGTGGATTAAAGGTTAAAATAGAAAATAAATAAATAAAATCACATAAGAAAACCTAGGAGTCATAAATGTAATCTAGGGACAGGTGAACTAGGCTTTTTCTGAGAAGGCAAACACACTGTAAGAGAAAACATAAGCATAGGTGACTACAATTTGAAACCTGAATTTTATGGCAGGACAAAAAATGCCATTAAAAATACAAGATATTTGGGGGAAATAAAAAGTGTATAACCCTATAGGACAGGCAAAAATACCTACAATATAGCAGGAGCTCTTAAATATGTACAAGGAGACTAAATAACCCATTGAAAAAAATGGATTATAAATATAAAAACATAGTTTACAAGGTACGAAATTCAAATAACCATCAAGCTTATAGAAAGATGATCAAATTCATTTGTTGTCAAATAATGCAACTGAACTAACAGTACAATTTACTTCACACCAATTGCGTCTGCAAAACTTAAACAAAACAGACTTTCAATAGTAAGGCCTAGGGAGACCTAGCAAAAGTATTTTTATTAATTGTAGGTGCAAATAAATATGCATAGTTGCAGCTTTCTTATGGAGGCAGTTTAGTTTTTAAAATGAAAAATACACATTTTCTTGACCCAGTGATACCAATTCTATCAACAGAAATAAAAACACCAACGTATATGAATATGGGGATGTTTCCTGAAGTACTATTTGTAGAAGAAAAACAGACTGGTCTTTATAAATAGGGAGAATGACAGGATAAGTCATGACATATTTCAACTACAGAATATTATGCAACCAGTATAGTAAATAATTTGGCTATAATTTTTCACATGGAAGAGATTTCCTCAATATATGACTGAATGAGGAAAACAAGGTTCAGAAAACAGCATATACATTTTCATTTTTGTAAAACAATGACATAAAACACTGCATATGTATGCACACAGCCATGCACACATACAGATATGTTTGTGTATGATTACATAAATTCTAAAAACATTTGGCATGGGACATATTAGGTGTTAAATACAGGGGGAGTGATAAGTTGGGGACAGAAGGGGAGATGAAAGTACCCAAAGGTGGAGAAATGTTGAATCTAAAAATCTGACATTATTTAGGGCATATGATTATGTAAAATTGTATGCCTGTGTTTATGTATAAATATTATTTTCTTTTGAGACAGGGTCTTGCTCTGTCACCTACGCCGGAGTTTAGGAATGCAATTAAGGCTCACTGCAGCCTCGACCTCTCAGGCTTAAGCTATCTTCCCACCCCAGCCTCCCAAGTAGCTGGGACTACAGGTGCATGTCACCATGCTCAGCTAATTTTTAATTTTTTTGTAGAGACAGTGTGTCTCTATGTTGCCCAGGTTAGTCTTGAACTCCTGGACTCAAATGATCCTTCTGCATCAGTTTCTGAAAGTGCTAGGATTATAGGGGTAAGCCCATGCACCTGGCCTATATGCATTTTTTAGAAAGGATAACTAGACACTAGGTCATGTGGATAAAGCAATGGATCTGAAATTGGTGGATGACTGTGTTTTAATATTTATCATTAATAAACCATGTTTCCTCAGGCTAATCACTTAATCTTTCTGAAACCCAAATTAACTCATTGGCAAAATCAATTAAAAAATTTCTAAGGATCCTTCCAGCTTCAAAATTCAAGGATTCCACCTCTTTGCACATGATGAATAATATATCAAACTGTTCAATCTTCACTCAGGCTATGAAGTGTCAAAATAAGGCAAAATCAAATCCAGCTGGGCTCAGGTTTTGAAAATACAGAATTTTATCTTTTAGTTCAATGTAATCCAGCTGACCTACTATTACATAAAATCTAACAATAAATAGAATGTATTTTCTCCTCCAAACAAGCTGTTCCTTCTAACTTCATTCTTTATATCAATGGGTTTAATATTTTCCCATCCCTGGTCTGAACTGCTTTCAGCTCAAACCATTTCTCTAGGTTTCTATTCTATTTCTTCCTTACGCCAGTATTCTGCTGCAAAATCACTTGCTCTGCCCCAGACAGTCTTTCACTCTCTTTTGCATTTGTATTTATTATACTTTTCCTCCCACTGTCTGCCCTCCTCATCCTCAAAAAGCCTACCCATTCTCCAAGGCCCCACTTAAATCTCATTTTCTTCTAAAGCCCTTTAAAGCCTTCGAGTCATGAAGTCTCTCTTTAAAAAAAAAAAAACTCCTACAGGTTGGTTGGTCATCTGTGTCCTTTGCATTATTCTTTTCAGGCACTGTTTTTGCACCATTGCTACTTACATAAATGCCTCATTTCTCCAAAAACACTTCAAGCCCCAGAAGGAAAAGAAAGAAACCTATTGATTCTTTTCTGTTGACTCCACAGGACACAGTGCAGGGTCTTGTGCATAAAAACTTGTTAATTGATCCTGTTACCCTCCAAAATGGCCATTATTGCGGCTCTGTCAAATGTCAAACTTATAGGAAAATTTAATCCATGGCATGAAAGGTTAATAAAAACACAATGTAAAAAAATGCTTTTGGAAGTGAGAAAATGGTGTTATCTTACTTATTAAACTTTATGTATCTGTAATCCAGGTTTAGATGATTAAAACCAAGAACGCTGGGCACCTGCTATGAAGTTGGAAGGTCTCATAAAGGCAGGAACACAGAATATCTCCTGTGTTGTAAGGCTGGTGCCAAGGAAGCTAGTTTGCCAAAGAGGACTATAAAATATGAACAGCTCAAAGTTCAGCAACTGAAAGTTAAAAGATTTAGATGAAGATGACTTCACAAAACTCTCAGAAGTCCATTGCATTTACTTTTATTTCCAACACACAGCTGTTAGTTTAACTTTGAAAGGGTGTTCTCTTTCATTTGCTTTGCTGATAGAGGTTTAATTGTCCATCAATTGAAGATTAAGAAGAAAACCCCACATTGCTTAGGTAACACCTAGCACTTGAAATCTCTGGATTTATACATAGATAACAAATCAACACTACTCTCCAACTTGTTTGCTAATGGAATTGTCACCGCACCTCCCTGAGCCCAAAAGACTCACCCAAGCTCTGAACCAACACTCCTTCCCTCCCTCACTAAATGGCAGAATCTATAGGTTCCAGTAGGTCAGACAAATGAGACATTTAAAAAGTATAACTACTTGTTGGTTTAGAGTGGGGAGTATGTGCCTTTATCATCAACCAGAGTTCATTATGATAAAATTTAATAACTTGCACTAAAAATGAAGTGCAAATGGGTGGTCCCCAGATTGAATGAGTCCCTTCTACAGAAGGGTGTGATTGCATTACTGTGTGTGTGTGTGTGTCTAGTGTATGTCCTGCATTGTTTTCCTTCTTCCCTCTCTTCCTCTTTCCTTTCCCCTTTCCCATCCCTTTCTTTGCCTCCTTTCTCTTTTTTTAAACTCTTTTTTTAGGTTCAGGGGTAAATGTGTAGGTTTGTTATATAGGTAAACTCATGTCACAGGGGTTTGCTGCACAGATTATTTCATCACCCAGGTATTAAGCCTAGTACCCATTAGTTAGTTTTTTCTCACCCTCTCCACCTCCCATCCTTCACCCTCTGATAGGCCCCAGTGTTGATTATTCTCCTCTGTATGTCCATGCATTCTCATCATTTACCACCCACTTATAAGAGGACATGCAGTATTTGATTTTCTGTTCCTGCATTAGTTTGCTAAGGATAATGGCCTCCAGCTCCATTCATCTTCCTGCAAAGGACATGAACTCATTCTGTTTTTATGGCCGCATAGCATTTCATGGAGTATCTGTATTACATTTTCTTTATCCAGTCTATCATTGCTGGGCATTTAGGTTGATTCCTGTCTTTGCTATTGTGAATAGTGCTCTGATGACCATACACATGCATGTGTCTTTATGACAGAATGATTTCTATTCCTTTGGTGTATACCCAGTAATGGGGTTGCTGGGTTGAATGGTAGTTCTGTTTCGAGGTCTTTGAGGCATCGCCACACTGTTTTCCACAATGATTGAACTCTTTCCCTTTCCTTTCCCTCTTCCCTTCCCTTTCTTTTTCTTTTGAATTGAAGAGCTCTTTCATAAAAATCCAGATCTTTCTTGCTTCTATTTAAATATTGCAAGGTTTGCATTTCCAGATGGTCATAACTAGGTGGAGCTGAGAGGACTGTTCCCCCTCCCACCCCACTGCTCAGTCGTGTGGACTCTCCAAGTGACCCATTCCCCACAAGTCCTGCTTCACTTGTTAACATTACTTACCTGGGGTTGTGTGTGCAGCTGGGTTTGAAGACCTTGTTCTAAGAGTACTGACAGAGTAGACTTCCCACTCTAATTTTCATGCCTCTGAGGGCAGTCTGACATTGTGTTTAAGAACATGGCTTCTGGGGCAGACTCCTTGGATTAGAGTATCAGTTCTACTACCTAGCTCTAGCTCTGTGGGCTTGGGCAAGGAACTCGACCT